ACCGGGATGACACAGTCGAGCAAGTTTGATGACCTGAACGGTCGATTTGCGAGTTTATGGACCGGGGTGACACAGCGGTATAAGTTTAGGGACCGGTGATAGACTTTACTATTTTTTATTCAAGTTTCCAGTTTGCTACGTGGACCTTGCATTTCCATAGTTTGGAACTATAGCAGCTAGAGTCAGAGGGAGTAATAAATTTAGACTGTAGAAAAGCTTTAAAAGGAGGCCACTAAAATTACATTAATGTAGCAAAATCATGAACGTTACAGAGATTGTGAAAAAACAATGGTTTCTTCATAATATATTGGACAAATCAAACAAACATTTATCTTGAAGTCAACATGTTCTTAACGAAAAGTTCATAGGACGAAATCGATGCTTAAACTAAATCAATTTCATAAAGTATAATTGCAGATCCGCAAGGTCAGTCAAAAAGTTCAGAGAGTGAACTTCTGAACAGTATAATCCTTAGCATGACGTTAAGCAAATACGGTAGAAGATTAATTAATAATAGCATGTCCATGGTACACAACCTTAGATTTCGTCCTATGGTGTGGGAGCCAAACACAGCACAGTACTATAAATCACACGAGTGTTCTTCACTTCATCTAAAAACTCCATTTCCAGTGCACGTAAAACCATTATTATCAACAATTCAGCAATAAGCACCACTAATAAACACAATGAACATAGGAATTTTTACAAAAAGAAAACCTTATTAACGAAAAGTACCTATTATTATTTATTGGGACCACTAAAATTCTCTCCCGTTTATGCTTTTACGGAACCAAGAGTTCCGAACTGGCAGAAAAGAACAGAAGCGAGAGAGCACATAGCGTGTGACACGGCTCGCCCCTCACGCTCTTGCTGACACACACACACAATGGTACAAAAGCAGCAAGCAAAGACAAGATAAAAACAGCCTCGTCCTAGGCTGCTTGCTGCAACCACTAGTGACTGAGTGTCAGTGGGCGAGTGTGTTTTCTCCATTACACTTTTCAATTTCTATTCTCTTCTTTTTTCAGTGCTACAGTAAATGATATAGTTTTTTTTAAGTGAATTACACTTTGGCTACATTTTATTACCTAAATTTCACTTTGAACCACCCTTAAATATATCTTTTCACTTTAAACCGGATAAATTTGCCATTGTTGTGATTGGGATCACCACGAACGATTTTTTTAGCGCAATCAACGACCATAAACACATCAACTCTAGTGTACGGACAAACTCCTCTATGTATGGTTAATATGTTTGCCGAAAGGAAAGTTAGACATGACGAGAAAAGCTGTTCATAATAGTCCAAACCGCAACAATAGTAAATTTATCCAGTCTAAATTGAAAAGATAGATTTAAGTGTTGCTAAAAATGAAACTTGGGTAATAAAAGGTGGATCAAAGTGTAATTTACTCTTTTTAATAAAACTTTACATGTATAATTTATTCTAAAAGGTTATATTAATTTATTTTTAATTTTATAGCTTATACTTAATTGTTATCTGTTTTGTGTGCTGAAGAGAAACGTTTCCAACCTCTTCTCCCGAACACATCCTCCGAATCGTGTACAGGTACGGCCGCTCACCACACTTTGGCTGGCCACACCCTCTCAGAAGTCAGTCCCTCACCATCCATCACATGGAAAAACAAAAAAAAAAAGTGCGAGAACGTACGGTCACTTTGGCTCCCGTTTTGCCCACCCAACCCGCGCAGCGAAAACCTCGCTCCGCACGCATGCACGGCCACGGACAAAAGAGAGAAGCAAAAAATAAAAAATAAAAAATAAAAGTTTTAACCGACGCGGGCACGCGGCGGAGCGCGCGTCGGATGGGCAGGCGGAACAGCTAGCATCCAGCGAGAGAGAAGAGAAAAACCCCGGAAAACGCTGGAAACGGAGGGGGGGGGGGTCGGGGAGGTGGTGGTGCAGCGCTTCGCTTCGGTTTTGTTGCGACGCGCGCGGGCGCGCCGCGTGAGGTTTTGGCCGCGCGCGACGGGGGGAGGGAGTCAGGGAGAGGGATCGATCGCTCACTCTGTTGACAGATTCCGGGCTCCGGGGCGAGGAGGCTGTTATCACGCGACGCGCCAAGAAAAAAACGGAGGGCTCCGCCAACAGCGAGGCCCATCGCCCCTCGCGAATGGCCTCTGCCACTGCCAATGACAAATCCCCTTCTTCGTCTTGTGCAAATAATACGCACGAATTTTGGCTGTGGTTTTTGCTGCTGATTGGAGCGCGGTAGGTGGGGCCCAGCTGGGGATTAGGGGGTGGGGAGTGCTGTTTGGACGAAAATGCCCCTGGATGGAGGAACCATGGCAGCATGTGTTTGTGTCTTGGAGGAACCATGGCAGCATGTGTTTGTGTCTTGGAGTTTTATTATTGTGATGGGTTTTTTTTGGTTGTTGTTTTAGATGTTTAGTTTTTGATCTTTCAAGAAATTGTTACTCCTAGCCTTTTATGCCCTTCTCTGCATTGTTAACTATTTTGACCATCGAATTTCATATGAACTTGGTAAAAGACTATCAGTTTATTTGCTTTGTGGAATATGTGCCATGAACCAATGACAAATCTAGAGCGAAAATTATCAGGTGTCCCGTATATATGTCATTGGCATATTGAACCAATTAATACACTAATTATTGAATAGTGTAATGTGTCCTGCCAAGAGGCGTTTAAAATGCACACGTCTAAAATCTCTAGTTTTAATTATTTATAATATGATGAATACATACAATTATTAGCCTTTTTTCTAAGGGAGAAAGTATTAAACTTTTCAAGAAATAGTGGCAGGCATTTATACAATATTTAACATGTAAGTGATGAAATGGACATAATGAAATCCGGCAAGTTGTTCAGCTTGAAGTTTATTGTCATTGACACATCGCTGTAGCTGGTTGCTGCTTGCTTTTCTAGTGCAATTACCACTTGAGTGATGGACATTTGTAACTTCGCAAACAATTTCACATACACGAAAATGATGTACATAAACTTTGGGTGATACAATGGTAACCACAGAAAAGAAAATGTACGATGTATTTCATTGCTAGTCTTGTAAGATAAACATCCTTGCAACCCCATCATGGCATGATTAGATGCAACAAATTACCTTGATTACAGGAGATTTGCCTGATCTTTTTTCTAGCACAAACAAGCTTGAAAGCTAGGAGGTATTATTGCCACAACTTTTTTGTCACTATCAAAATGTAATGGGTACATTAAAAATCTTTTCAGGGAATAAGTCCAGGCAAGTAAATTTTAACATGCACAAATCAGTAGCATGTTCTAGAACAACCAAAATAGTGTCTCATTCAACTTAGGTAATACTTGCAACCTACTACATAAAAGAACCTTGATAGTTACTAATATAAGGCATGCATTTTAGCTACCATCGTATCAAATTTGACATTGTTCCATGGAATCCTACCTTACCAATTAAATATCCACCTAAACTGTTTTCATAATAGAGGCAAAGCATATCTAATGCTCTCTAGAATAATCGCGAAGACATCACAATAAGATCACAATGATCCCTACTTGAGGTGGACATATACATGGAATGCACTTCAGTGTGTCTTGTTGGGAACTTTTTTTTCCATTATAGTTTGAAAAGGAGTTCTAAATATGTATGTATGCGAGCTATGTTTATAGCTTATCACATAGTTGAAACTGGTAGGGTGATGATCCTCGAATACAAGTAGGAAGTTGCCATACTATGTACAATACAAACATCATAAATTTCAATCTACAACAAATTCACATAATCTATACCATATCATGTTGCTCAAAACTCCCAATCATGCAAAAGGCTTCTATACAACTTCTTATGTTGTTGTAGGCATTGGAACGCCCCTTCCATCCGTTGAGTAAAATTGAAATCAAGCTTTATAGGGGCTCACTCGATTAAAGAAAAACTTGACACATGAGAAATGAATGGTTCTACTCGCTCACTAAATACACTTGCTCTTATGTTCCAAGTCCTCATTTTTTTAGTCCATAGTATATTCTATACTGTTATGATAGATTCTATGGTTATGTATGAGCTATGCTTCTAGTTTTGTCACATAGTTGAAACCGACAAAACTAGTGATCTTAGAATCCAATTGGGTGTTAAAAAGTCATACACGCAATGCACAAACAAAGCATAACGATACACCAAGCATGGCAATATCATCGTTTATCAACAATCAGACGAACGGAAATATGGTTTATCATATAGGAAAATACCATGCCTAATGGAGTAACGGTTGATTGACTTGGTCGAAACCAACAAACAATTGATTCTAGGAAAAAAAAGTAAAAGTTGTCTGAACAAAAACAATATTTTTTGAAGGAAACTACACTAGGTGATTAACACCAGCCTGAACATTTATTGATAATATATAGGCGTACAATTACAAGTTTAAGGATATTTACAGGGGGTGTGGGGGGGGGGAAGAGAGGGTCTCAAGTATTCCCTAGTTCACTAAGATTGTTCACCTAAGAGCTGAGAGACAGGCGGAGTCGCTCTGGGCAACGGTGTACTAGAGCGCAAGGTCATCGATGCACCTACGTCTCACTTGGGAGGCGGAGTCATCTACTCCGTTGGAGACAAAAAACAATATTAAGAGACAAACCAATAAAAAATTTTATATGTACTAAATGTCATGGTTTACTCAACGGTTCGATGGCGTGTACTTGTTTGACTTCTAGCAGAATATAAACGGCTCAAATTTTAAGGCTTTGACTAACATATAATTTATTTAACGACACACCTTATTTTCCGTCATATTTGTAAATTACTTGTCAATAGTACTCGTGTGTAATCTATCAATAATAATAATAATAATAATAATAATAATAAAGGAAATTCCTCTAAAGTAAAATTCCCCATAATTATGTACTAGTATTGGTTAGCCAAGGGCAAAGCTGTCATTCCAACACATCCCTCATAAACAAACTCCAGCAAAAATCAGCCGAACGAAACCCATTTTTCTCCTCTCCCGGTCTCCCCCCGATCACCTTCTTTTTTATTTTAACCCCCTTCCGGTTTTGTTTCCTCCTCCTCCTCCTCCTAACCTTCGATCCCCCCTCCTCTCCTTCTCCCTTAAAAACCTTCCCTCTTCCTCCTCCTCCTCCCCCTCCTCCCCCCCCCCCCCCCACCCCCACCCCATCCCCGCCGCCGCCGCGCCACTCCCATGGCCACGCAACGGCCTCTCGCCGTCCTCCTCCTCCTCCTCCTCGCCGCCTGCGCGCTGCCGCTCGCTCGATCCCGCGCGGCGCCAAGAACGGCCGTGGGTGGCGGTGGTGGCGCGGCGGCGGCCGACACGATACACGAGCTCCTGCGGACGCACGGGCTGCCGGGGGGGCTGCTGCCGCGAGGGGTGGAGTCGTACAGCCTCGACGAGGCGAACGGGCTGCTGGAGGCGCGGCTGTCGGCGCCGTGCTACGCCAAGTACGACGACGGCGACCTGGCCTTCTTCGACACCGTGGTGCGGGGCAACCTCAGCTTCGGCGCGCTCCGCGGCGTGGAGGGCCTGTCCCAGGAGGAGCTCTTCGTGTGGCTCCCCGTCAAGGGCATCGTCGTCGCCGACCCGGGCTCCGGCGTCATCCTCTTCGACATCGGCTACGCCCACAAGCGGCTCTCCAGGTCGCTCTTCGAGGAGCCACCCGACTGCAAGCCCTCCGCCTCCGCCGGCACGGACGCCGCCGACGCCGCCAGGTGGAAGGACAGGCAAGGTGAGATTGCCGCTATTCATTCATTCATTCATTCCCCCATCTCCTCCCTCCTCCTCGAGATGCCCTCAGATTTGTTCGAATGGTTTCTTGATTTGTTAGGATCCTCTCCTCTTCGTCTTTCCTCTCTCTCTCCTCTTTGGTTGGTTGGTAGGTTGGTAGTTTCACCTTCTTCCCTGGCGTTTGTCTCGACATCTAATCGCTGGAATTCGAACAAGATTCCGTCTCTCGGTGAGGGGGGTTTTGATCGAATTCGCCCTTCCCAATCTCTCGCTTGAACTTCATATCGCTTCCGCGATTCGCCGATTCGATCCCAAATCGGCGCGAATTCGATGAGATGCGGTCCTCCAAACATTGGATTCCGAGAGCTTTGTTAGAAGGCTAACATGGGTTTTATTGATTGATTATTAATTAGCGTGGAGTTATTTAATCTCTTGACTTCGGTTTCGACTGCGCAATCGTCTTGGATCAGTGGACGCCGGTTACAAGTTGGCAAGCAGGACGTTCTTTAGTTTGTGGCAGAGCTGGAAAGTTGGAATTTTTATGGCTTCTTGGAGTTGGAAGCTTGTGGAGGAGTAATTCTTGGAGGGGGTGATTAATGGCATCAGTTAGAACTGAATTTGGGGGCATTAACTCCGCAGGAAATTGGTTCATCTGGTGTTCGGAAATCAAAGCTGATCTTTGGCAGTGGATTTCTGAGCACTAAGGGGACATTTATTACACACAAAAGAAAAAAAAAACATATTCCTGCAGTATATATTTAGTACCGAGACTTCTGCATGATTCTTCTTTTCTTGCCCCTTAAGTGTTTGAATCAATTCTTTTATGATGCGGATTATAGCTCACTAGACAAGCTATGTTGGCATAATTGACTGGATCCGGTGTCGGTGGATTCAGGGCAAGAGCTATCGTTTCTGTTCTTGGTCAGATCAATTGGTTCACATAGATATATGAGAAGAAGTTTAGATTAGGAGCTTAATCATAATTTGATTTCTGCAATGATGTGTTAGGCAGGCAAGTTGTCAGTCTAGTGTTACAAGTGGAGAGGGGAAGAGTAAGCATTAGATGCTTGCACTCCTACTCTTCTTTGCTTTCCAAGCAAAGATTTTTGGCTGATGCATGCTCAATTCTATCGATCCATCTCCTTTAGGAATCAAATCACACGCCAAATTTCCTTCCTTAAACCTTTTCCCGTTTGTCACAGGCAGGTTAGTTGCTTTTCGATGTCCCTCTCCTTTGCAGATTGTTATCTTTCCCATGTTAGAATGTGTGTCTCGTCTTCTCATCTGTCCTTCTCTGGCCTATGGCTGTTGCTGTCTCTTTCTCACCCTTCTTCTTTCACCTCTGCCTCCATCAGAGGGTGGAAAGCTGATGAAGCTACTACCTACATACACTTGAAGAACACATCTCCGTAGATAGGAAAGGATAGAACCAAGGATGTTGTAACTGTCAAGGGCTCTCTTTGTTTCCCCAAATTGCTATACTTCACATGATTGATGTGAACCTTAAACAGTCACCCCTAAAAGAAGAAGAAAAGAGAAATCTTTCCTCCCTTTCCTTTCTACTCCTACTGTATTTCACTGTTTCTTGAGCTAAAGCCACGGTAGACTGGTAGTTACTCACTCCCTCCATGGACACTTGCACAGTGCTTTAAATCTCCATTACTGCTGCAGCCAAATGTCTGCAACTATAACTGATAAACACATGGACTGAAAAAAGCTGCTTCTTTTTCCTGTGGAATTGCAGATGTTCCTGGCCTGAGGTTCATGGGAGAGGCATCATCAGGAGCAGAAAACCACCAGGACCAGAGGTGAAGAGAGGAGTTAAAACAAGGAAATGTAATGAGGGTGAGATCCAGACAAGAAGACAGAGACAATTGGCTGAGCCAGTTTTCCCCTTGTGTAAAAATCCTGTGGTGAGATTGCTGCTGATGCTGCAAACAACAACTGCTACTGCCTGCAGAGGGTTTGGGTGTATCTACTTAAGGGAGATGTGGGTACTTTTGCAACCTGTTTTTTTTTCTCTTTACCTTTTTTGCCTCCTCTCTCTCTCTCTCTTCCTCTCTCTCTAGTCCATGCACCTGTGTGATATTAAGTTTGTCAGTGATGTGTTACAAGCAAGAAAAGAACAAGGAAAAGGTGGGGTGAGAAGCCAATTGGGGCTGGTTTTTTTGAGATTCTTGAGAAGGGAATTTTCTTTGGTATGTACTGTATGTGTTGGTGTATGTATGTGTGTGTGCCAGCTCAGCAGTGAGTGAGCTGGGTACAGCACACAGGCTTGCATTGCCTTCCCTGCACTGCATGTGAGCTTGTTTGTGTTTGGCTGGCTGGCTGGCTGGTGGTTGAATGCTTCTTCTCCTGCCTAAGATGATTAGATTAGTAGTACATATACAATCATACAATACCATATGCTACTCCCTTCAATACCATATGCTACTCCCTTCAATTATTCTTCAACTAGGCTGGGTCACAGGCTCATAGTAGAGCTAGCACAGAATATAATAATAATCACTATTTGGCCTATATCTCCTTCCATTCCATGTAGGAGTATCTGTTTATGTGGTGTGCAAGTCTCAATGAGTATCTTTCCATCTGTCTTTCCAATCTATATCCATGATAAAATAAATTATTTGCTCTCTTAAGGGTCCCTTTGAATCAAAGGATTTATATAGGAATTTCATAGTATTCAAATCCTATAGGAAATTTTTCTATTTAGCCCTTTGATTCAAAGGATTGAAGCTTTCCAAATCCTATGAAATTCCTATGGAATGACACATTGCACGTGGATTTTAGAGGAAATTTAGTAAGAGCTTCAACCTCTTGGAAAATTTCCTTTGAGTCTATCTCTCTCATCTGATTCCTGCATTTTTCCTGCGCTCCAATCAAACGACCATTCCTATGTTTTTCCTGTGTTCTGCAATTCTCTGTTTTACACTTCAATTCCTGTCAGAATCATATAATTTTCCTATTCCTCTGTTTTTTCTACCTGTGATTCAAAAGGGACCCTAAGTGGGAAAAGGCTCATCAACGTCTTCAAGACTCCATCCAGCCAACGAGAAACCAGCTAATATAAATCAATCTACGATGCGTATGGAATTGACGACATGATAAGGCGATCGAAAGAGACGTGCTCTATCTCTCTCTCTCGCTGTTTCGTTGCTGCTGTCTCCTACTCTGTACCCGTTTTGTTCTTCCTGGCTTTTTTTAAATACGGGTCACTTCGATTGGTTTTGAGAAAATATCGCTAGTTCGTGTTGATGTCATCATGTGGATGGAGGTGAGAGGAGAGAAAAAATTAGTGGACAAGCGATTGCATGGGTCACTTGTTTGACAAGTTACGCACTTGCGATTTTTCGCCCGGATCTGTTTCACTTTCGGTGATTCATTTGCCGGGGCCTGTTTTTGCGATGGAAAAGTGAGTCTTTTGGCCATGGAGTGTAGAACTCGATCACACGAATGAGAGATTTCTGTTGCCACATCAAACCTGATGCCCCAGTAAAAAAGGTATAAACACTAACGGAATCGAACCGGTTGGACCCATGGGTACAAGCTGAATCACTTTAATTCAACTAAATAAGCTAAATTTTAATCCTAACAACAGGTTGATTGACCGGAGCAAATTCAAGATGACAATGCCTAAGCTTGGGGTTGGGGGCAACCCAAGCTCTCCTCAATACCTCAACCATTCTTGGTCCAAAACAAGCTTTCCACATTTGCAGTCGCCCTATAGTGTTGTTGCACATCTTAAAAAAAGTATGTCTTAGCATCTCCAAAAAGAGGTACACTACATACAGTTCAGCAGGCGGTGATAGGCTGCTAAGTGCTTAACCCCCATCGCAAACCTCGTTTTAATACGGCATCCTAATGGCATGCCTACTCTGCAGGCACGCACTAAATAATTCTGTCCGCCGCTGACGGCGCAGCGGCCATGATGGCAAGCGACCCTGGACCAAGCCAGCCTGAGGCGGCGGCAGCAGCAGCAAGTCCTTGAAACTCGAAAGCCTCTCCCAACATAGGAATGCCAAAAAGAGAAGGGTACAATGATTCAGGCTGCAGCACAAGCACTGGCTGTGTGCATGGGGCTCGTGTCGTGCCTCATGCCATGGCAGTGTTAGTGGCAGAGGTAGCCTGGTTTGTGTGACCCAAGCACAAAGCAAAAAAAAAAAAAAAAAAAAAAAAACCAGACCAAAGCAAAGGGTTTACACGCGGAAAGCTTGTGATTAGTTGTACTATTACGACACATTAAACTGGGAAACCAAAAAGGCAGGGCGAGTGTGAGCCCAGGAGAGCACCAGTGCAGGGGTGAGGAGGCGAGAACAATCATGGCATCACACAACAACGCAACAGGACGAGACCAAAGGGAGAAAAAAAAAAGAGCGAAAAGACCCTGGGTCAGGATGAGGAAACCCTGGGGCAGCAAAAGAACATCCTCCCGCAAAAAACCACCGGAGCAGACCCCAGACCAGGGCCTGACCCGAACAAAAACTAATGCCATCACTTTGGCCTGTTTGTGCCACTAATCTCTGTGCATTACTTTCTCAAGCCACATTATTTAACACCACCAACCTGGATGGCACCACAGGATGCTGGTATATTCCAGCAGCTGATTGCTGAAGATGCACCTGCGAGAGACGACAGGAGAAGCTTTTTTTTTCCACAGGAGGGTTTGCATTTCATCAGCAATCCACCCCACAGGTCACTATTAGTACAGGTGTGCAAGGGTGACAAAGATAGGTTGATACAATAGCATACTACTACTAGTATATGGTAAACTGCAACTGAGGACAGATACAGGAGTTCGCATCCAATTTTTTACAGGCAGAGTCTGGTACGGCTATTCGCAATTGTAGCAGTTCTATCTCACAAACTGCTCTTTGGATCAGCATGAGAAGCAAGGCAGGGTTATTCAGAAACGGTGGGGAGGAGGTGGGCCTCTGAATCTCAGAAGGGCCCGTGCGGCCCCGGCTGGAAGAACTCAAGGTCTGGGTGAGTAGTCCCAGCTGGAGGCCTCGGACGCCTGTGTGAAAAGAAATTCATAGGTTAGCATTGCCCGTTGATCAGAGCGTCAGAGAGTATCTCCCAATTAAAATAGAATTGCCTGTAAGCATTGACAGTTTTAACTAGATGCAAATGCACTGTTTTAGAGCTTTTGCGATGCAAAAGGAACATAAAAATATGTAGGATATCACTAATCTAATATCATTATGTTAATAAAAAACTATTGTTACAACTGCAGCTGAGACAGTGTCTGAAGGTTTACGGTTTGATCTGTTGGTCATGGGTTTTAAAAACTGAGTTGAGTACAGTAGTCGGTGATCTTGGAAATCAGAGATAAGCTAAGAATAATTGTATGAAAAACGTTGCTGAACTATCTTACCTCACAAAGCGAGAAGGTTCAAATCCTGGAACATCTGGTGGACCAATTGGATCATAACGACCACCTGGTGGAACACTCCTATTTTCAAATATTAAGTCCATTTATAACAGAATAAAAAGGACAGCATGGGTAATGAAATGACAAAGTGGAAGATAAAGTGGATTACCCAGGGCCACCAAAGGGCACAGGGAAGGGATTAGAAGGAAAGAAGCGTGGATCGTTTGGACCTGTTGTATGAAACAAATGTAAATCAGACTGCCGAGATGCACAAAGATAAAACAGAAAGATTCTAGGGTGTGTTCTGTGGGTGTCATATTACCAACATGCATGCTGCCACCCCCACCAATACCACTGCAAACAAAAACAGAAACTATTAATTATGTTAGCATATGCTTCATTGATATTTTACATAATCGTAAACAAACCTATGAGGATAGAAGCCTGCGCCAGGGCCAGGGAAGGCATCATCATGACCAAGTGGAGCTATTGGAGGATAAACCAAGCTGTAACAACAGAATTCACAAGAAAGAACAACTAATTAACTATCATGAAACCACTCTAATTACTCTCTTTACTAAATTTGCACACACATAGCAATACAATTATTAAGTGCATATGTACATTTTTTTTTACATCTCTTTAATGCTATGATGAACTTCGATGTTCATGGCATATCAGTGCATATATATCAGTAGGTTAATGATGAATCAAAAAATTCCATCAATAATTACTCAGCTCTGGCTTATGTTTAGTTGACTTTCAACAAAAACACAACTTGTTCAGTCAATGTAATGCACTGAAGAGACAAGTTCATATAAACATATATTGACTCCTTCATGTTGGTTTGCTGGCGGATTTGGAAAGAACGAAATGCTCGAGTCTTCGATCAAAAGGAGAAAACTGTGGAGTCGCTGGTTGCAGACATTAAAGAAGATGTGATGGTCTGGAGAGCTGCCAGTATTTTTCAGTTTAGTGAGGAGTAGACCTTTGAGTTGCTGCTTCTGTAAATAGTTTTCCCCTTTGCTTTTTCTCGCTTTGTTTCAAAGCTTTTGCCTTGACTCGACAGTTTAATGTCGGGATATATGTATTATACTCCCAATCTTAATGAAATTTGGTCAGCATTCTTCCGCCGACCCGGCAAAAGAGACAAGTTCATATAAAGAACCAACAATGATTCATTCAATGAAACCTAGAAAATAAGCTTATAATTGTGATATTTTGGGCGAGAAAAATTGCAGAGTACACATTACTACCACTATATGGGCCTCAACATGTTGGTTCAGTGCTAAAATAGGCACACCACACACCTTATTTAAATATTTACAAACATATATTTTCATGTTATTTTCATTATTTGCGTAGACAAGCATCACAGAAATGACCAAGGAAAGAAATACAAGACATAAAATGGCAACATGACCTTAGAATTGACTACATTAAAATTTGATGGTACATGAGAAGGCAATGGATTAAGATAATTTTGGTAATAATAACAGATACATCTGTCATAATCATGGCTACCTTAAAAATGCATTCTGCTCACAATAGGTCCAAACATTCATATATCTGTAATCTTAACTGACATAATGTAGCATTGTGTTGTTAACTTGTCCAAAATAGTTTGAGAAAATAATACAGCTAGTGGCAACTTAAAAAAGGAATCACACTGCTGGTGGTCAATTTAGCAATCTATTCCAGAAAGGCAAAGGAATTACTGTGGCTCTTCATTTCTATCTATATGCCAATGGTTTTCAGAATTTAATCCGTGTATAAATACCATTAATAACTGTGGGAAAAGCAGGAACAATATAGTAAAGTTTGATAACAGTTGTAACAATGTAGAGAGAAGCAAAAAGGGCGGGCTGAATAATGAAGAATGTGCACATATAAAAGCAAAAGGAGAAATACAAATGTCTTGAGGTCATACCCAGGTTCAGTAGTTCTCAGGCCTGGATTTTCAGATCTGGAACACAAGTGCCTTATGTTAGAAAAAAAAATCTTGGAGACAACCAGTTAAGGCACTTAATTAAAAGTTATTTTATCCCTTGAGAAGCTTCAGCTTTCAATGACACATTTCACTAGCATTTTCCTAAACTAGCAGGCAGCTAAGATTAGAAGAATATTCAGATTATAACATAATTTTATATTAATGATGTGAAATATCATTACCAGTTTCCCATTTTATTGTTTTAAGACCAAAGGTCCAAAGCAATACAGTAGCGTCTAGTCCAATGTACGTGAACAAAATATGCACGCGCGTGCACACACATGTGTTTTGGAGAAGAGGGAGTATTGCCAAAAAGGAAGCATAGAAAATTATCAATTACCTGTGTATTGATGAGCTAGTCTCAACCTCAGGGTTCTTGGCAGCACCAGCATCCTTCTCATCCAATTTGCTCAATGCATTTGAGTTCATGGTCTCAATTAAGCCTGCAAAGTTTTTGTACATGTTCCCATAGTTCTTTGGCTGCTCCTCGGAGAAGAAATCCTTCACACTGCACACAAGAAACAAAAGTAAGATACCCAAAAATAAGCCAGAACCTTCAAGATGAGAAAGGAACAGTTTAATGGAACTGGCAAATCGCAGAGTGAACAAAATAATGCATCTGCATAATACGAGATTACGAGACAGTGTTCGTTGCTAATAACCATATAATGGTTCTACACTTATTTGCACTCCATCCGTCCCAAAATATAAGGACTTCAGGATTTTTTGGAGAGACTAAGGATGAAGGGAAAAGATTATGATGCCCCTTATCATATGAGGGCTCGTTGGGGATAAGATGTGATGAAAACTAAATGAGGGGTGGTTGCTGGGCAAAATAATATCTAGAAGTCCTTATATTTGGGGACAAATTTCAAATGCTAGAAATTCTTATATTTTGGGACGGAGGAAATAGATTACTGCTTCTGCTTCTTTACATACTTAAATCGCACCAGAAACATAAGTATGGTACAAAACAAAGCAAGAAGGTGCAGCTTTGAAACATACTTGATCTGGATATTATAAGGGCCTTTATTCTGTGACTCAAGATCCAGGACATCAATGGCAAGGACATCACCGATCACCAGACATTTTACCAATACCCGTTTCTTCTTGCCCCTCTCCTCCTTGATGTACAAAAATGCATAACAATTATCCATGCTGTTCCAACCATCAATCCCCACCTCCTCTTCACCTAAAGTTATAGGTACAATACAAAACTTACTATAAGACTAAGAACTCAGGAGAATTACTGAGCATAACCATGAAATGCAAGCAGGTGGTAAGATGTTTGCTTAAAGTCACATCTCTCTGACCACATAACAAGATTTAACTAGTGAAGACTGACTAAGACTTAAAATTATTCGGAATTTAAGAATTATGAGTCAAATACACAAAACCATATTTATGATAAAGCATTTGCTTCCAAATATTTCACACCTTGGTTATCTAACCCCTACTCTGCAAGCTGTAGCACAGAACTAAAATCTTCAGTCTGACCCCTAATCTTCAGTGCAAGAATTTGGAATTTAAACAAAGGAACCAAATACATTATGGTGGACATAAACGCACATTGAGATTGCAGTATTGGTAAAGAAATTTCAATCACCTGCATATATGTATTAATTTTATCTCAGTTAATGCTTCGATTAAACTAGCTGCTATATTTTCTGACGAACATACAGAAGAGAGTAACTATGGTAAACGTGTATGTAAACTATGCATTTTACGCATACTATCCACATTATCCACTAATTATCGGATAAGTGGGGATGGTGGAACAAGAGAAATAGTAAGGGAGAGAAATGTTTTCAGAACATCTAAATATGTGTATATACCACAGCCATCCTATACATAGAAATGCACAAAACACTTGGAGACCCATTAGCAAACAGAGATACTCAGTGAGATTCCTATTTCCCAGTCCAAAATTTCTGTACTATAAGCAGATCCAGGTAAGTGCTAAGTTGTAGTCAAGGAACTGATGCAAAACCCACTAGAATCTATAGAAATCCAATCCATGGAACCCATTAAACTCGCCGTGACAAGTTATCCTGAAGAAAATCACACGCACATTAGAATTGCTACCAATTCAATCAGGCCTTACACCACGACGCCCTAATTCTACACAGCGGAGTACCACTCGTAGCACATCGACATCTACCAACCTGGGTATTCCAATTTCCATAAACCCAAACGCGCGAACTCTAAACTTGGGAGGTGCAAAAAAAACCTAATCGACACACGAGGAAGGAAAGTAGGAAACCCTAGGGCTAGGGCGGAAGGGGCGGCGGGAGCGAGGGAGCGCGCGCGCACCTGAGGGCGGGGGGTCGGTGAGCGCGGCGGGGCCGACGGCGCAGAGGGAGTAGCCGGCGGCGAGGAACGCGGCGTTGGCGGCGAAGGCGACCCCGTCGTGGGCGCCGCGGAAGGCCGGGCGCGCCGCCTTCACGACGGCCATCGCGGCGGCGTCGGTCACCATCGCGCGATTCGCGGGCGGCGTCACGGCGGTCGAGGGAAGGGGGAGGGGAGGCGGTGGTCGCGTTCGTGGGGTTTCGAGAGAAATCTTTGTAGTCACAGCTCCGTACACCGTAGAGTATGCAAATGCAATATACCAGTAGCATATGAATATGATACTGGAAATACGGATTTTAAATTCTATAAATTAATTTATAAAATTAATGTTTATTTATTTTATAAATATACTAGTAGAAGTGAACTTAATTAAAAATATTTACCCATGTGTCCAGTTAAACATTGGGCATTTGGGCGTACCGTAGATCAAGAAGTCATCATCGCTGGTGATTGGTGAACCAGGAATTGACTGTATATATATTAAGCTCGTGTATTCTTCTTTAATTAAAAGCCGAATCTGAAGTACTTTGCATTAGCGTGAGTGTCACGGTGAAGCATCCTATATTCATATAGAAGCACGTTCTTGGGATGCAAGAAGAAGAATAGCTGAAATCAGAAACAAAATTATCAAAAACAAATGCAAAAGGCACCGGTGTAATATGCATTTACCATAGAACAAAAATTGTAAGCCTAATTTTATTTCCCTTTTGATATTATAAATCTAATTTTGTTTGGTTTCCCGGAAAAGAAAAGGCTGAATTTGATTCAAAGATCGAGGAAGAAAAATATAATCATCAAGTATCTGATATCTGCTCTGACCGCTGACTAGGATGAAAACGGATCGAATACGGTCGGAAACTAGCTTTATCATATTCGTTTTTATTTTTTTTTCTCGGAATCGAAAACCCGGATACGAAAACGGAATCGAATATTATCGAATACAAATACGGAGCGAATACGAATCGAAACGAATATGGTAACGGATATTAATCGGAACATAAAAGCCCTTCAAACTGACCTTCACAAATCAACGAAGAAATATAACTCGTTATTTTTTCTAATAGAACATATCAACATTTTCAAATTTTAGTGTTAATAATTTTGTTATATCCGATTTTGTGATCGAGGGAGACAATTCAATCGAGAGTAAGACATTACGAGGCTATTATTGTGTTTTAAAATCATGTTCTATCAAGTTACTGTGTTCTTACTACTATTATTTTGGTTATTATTTTGGTCATATTTTCTTATGACTTTGTTTTTATCAAGTAAAATTTTGAATTTCAAAAAATAGCAACTTCAAATAATATTTTGAAGTAGTAAATAATTTCAACTGAAAAAGTTATGAATATAAAAGTTGTAAAACTCATCAAGAGCTAAAACTTTTATTTTAGTCATTTCTTCATCCGACCAAGTGATAGTAACATTGTTCATAAAATTTGCATATATCTCTTATATCTTATGAAACCATATACGAGATATGTAATTTTGTAAACAATATTGCTATCGCTTTGTCAGATGAAAAAATGACTAAAATAAAAGTTATAGATATTGATAAGTTATAAAACTTTGTTGTTGATGACTTTTTTAGTTGAAATCATTTAGTATTTGAAAATGTTGTTTGAAGGTGTCATATTTTGAAATCCAAATTCTAACTATTTAAACAAAGTCATATAGAAAAATGACCCAAACAAAGGTTGTTGATCTTGATGAGTTGTATAACTTGGTTGTTGACAATTTTTCCATTTGAAATACATTTACTACCCGAAAAATTATTTGAATTTCTTATATTTTAAAATTCAAAATTTATATAATTCAATCAAACTCAGATGAAGAAATAACCAAATAAAATTGGTAGATCTTAATAAATTCTACAACTTTGTTTTTGATAACTTTTTCACATGAGTGCATTTAGTATCATAAAATTTAATTCGAAGTTGAGGGAGGACGTATAGACTTAATAGCTAATTCTTAGGCCCGTTGGCCCATTTAGATGGAGGGATATATAAACCTAACCCTAGTTTCTACCTCCCAATCTCCCACACCTCCCAATCTCCTCCCAGCCGCCAGCCGCCACCCTTCCTCCCGGCTCAAGCGACCGCGTGCGGCGGATGGCTACGGCGACGGACGGCGTGCGGCGGACGGCGACGGCGACAGGGCCCGCGTGCGGCGGACGGCGACGGCGACGACGGGGGCGGGGTTGCGTGCGGCGGACGGCGACGGTGGGGGCGAGGCGGCGCGAGGCGACGACGTGCGGCGGACGGCGGCGAGCGGAACCGGCCGGGGCGGCCGGGTCATGGCGACGGCGTGCGGCGGACGGCGATGCCGGTCTTGGGGCGGCCGGATCCGAGGTCGGCGGCCCTGAAGCCGCGGATCCGACATCGTGAGGCGACGGCGACGAAGGGGGCTCGGCGGCGTGAGTGGACGACGTGCGGCGGACAACGACGAGCGGATCCGGCGTGCGATGTGCGATGGCGACGGCGGGAACTCGGCGGCGTGAGGCGACGGCGTGCGGCGGACGGCGACGAGCATTTTTCGATGTTGTTAATTTTAATTTTGCTGTTTATTTTGATTCGGATATCCGGCAAAAAAGGTCGGATAGTTTCTGACCGAATCCGATTTCCGACGGATACCATCGCTACTGTACTGTATTCGAATTCGTATCCGAGAAAAACTATCCGAATTCGTATCCGAATCTGAAAATATCAAAAAAAAAAATCCGACCGCAACAATTCTCATCCAAAAAACAGGATGGAACTCGGAAATTATCCGTATCACTTTCATCCCTACCGCTGACCGGTGAGGCAGTGATGAAATGGGCCGGCAGCCTGGAAAGCAGGCCGACTTGTCAGCTGGCCGACCAGGCCCATCAATAGAACCAATGCAATATCAGGCTAGGATTTTAGGCCTTTTAGCTAGGCCGGCCCGATAGACTTAGGCTGTGTTCGGGAACTCCACTCCGCATGGAAAACGATGTTGCCTATTAATGCGTTATTAATTAAGTGTAAGCTTAAATTTTTTTAAAAAAATGATTAATATACGATTTATAAAAGCAACTTTCATATATAAAACTTTTGCAAAAAAAACACACCATTTAGTAGTTTGAAAAACGTGCGCGCGGAAAAAGAGGGATGTAATTTGAGAAGGAATGGGGGAGAACACATCCTTAGCATTTCTTTGTCATGGTCTCTGACAATATGGGGGTCTCAACGGATGGCTTGTTTGGCTGAGGCTTGGGCTGAGGCTTTTCAGCCAAACAAGTAGGACCCGCAAGGGAGTTGGATCATCAGTGGTGGCTAATTATGTGAACTCTCTAGTGACCATACACAAAAACTAAAAATCTCAATACCACCAGCACACAGAAAATCCTTCACCAGCCATATCAGCAAAATAAGCCAAACAATGGTTTTTCTTTGGCTGAATTGATGGCAGATTTGGCTGATCAGGCAAAGCTTCATGCCATCCGATGAGGCCCTAGGGCTATTCAGTAGAGATTGCATAGCCATTTTATTAACCAACACGTTTATTAGCAGATCACCAGATCTGTTTCTTATCCCTTCCGCGGTAGTAGGAGATGTGAGAAGATATGTAGAACACCCACATTCTTCTGTTTGTCCTCAAAATCATTGCAGAAGTAGACAAATTGGCACAGATATAGAATGAAGTCCTCTCTTTATAGATATGTTCTCGAGTATAAGCAACTTCAAACATTTCACCTTACCACTCTATATATAGCAGCCTTAGGAGGAGATAATTTATCTCTACTATTAAGATGTAGAAAAAAAAAACGAAACAAAAATAAATATGGGTAAAAATTTGATCTCTCTTATTAGTGATTCAAAAGCTAATGTTTTTTGAATAAATTATGATGAAAAAGCTTAAAATCAACTTTAAATTAAGTTTCAAAATTTAAAATGTTGGTTGCGACTGATAAACCAACAAGCAAAACATTTTTTTTTAACGAAAGGCGAAGCTTGCCCATTCATTGAATATAGAGGGAAACAAGCAAAACAATGTAGCAGCCGGTAATTAGTAATACTATCAACTCCCAAGCCATGGATAGAAGCTTCATTAATCATCAATAACTCTTACAGAAAAGTTTCCCTCAAAAACTCTTACAGAAAAGGCCCAAAAAGGACGAAACTGCAGATCTCCATTTAGTTAGGAGTACAGATTTGGTGCAACTAAAAAGAGAGAGTGATCTGCTGGGCAAGTGAAACTGAAAAAAGCGCCCTCATGCCTGCATAGTCGACCAACGTTAGATAATTGATCAAGTCCCATTTTTCTTTTAATCCTTCAAAAGAAGTCTCCCTTTTTGGGATGCCTGCAATTATCTGCTGGGTTAGTGAAACAGAGTGATCCTAATCCTGAAAAACGGCTTAAGAGGGGCTTTTTGGTGCAAAGCCGTAGTTTGGCTGGAAATTAGGGCTTTCTAGAGTACAAAAAGCTACTAACATTTTTCTGCCACATGCCTGCATTAACTCCCTGCTATCACAATGAACTGATCCACCGTCCAACTGGTCGCGGATTAGCTTTCTCGCCGTCCAACTCCAGAACAATGTCCTCGGAAAGCGTACAGCTCAGCCATCCGATTATCCGAATGCATGTGTGCGTGCTAGACATGCATAATTAATCCAAGAAGAAAAAAGAGGAGGAAATTTGTCACCTATTTCATCAGCAATGGATTCTTTACAGTGTTTTGCAACGAATCTATGAGGAGGGTTACATGCGTTTGTTCATGTCTCCTCACTGTAAGAAAAGAAAAAAATTAAAGAGTTTGTTTTTTTTCTTTTTTGAGGCGTGATGCGATAGAGTAATCAAGATTTGGGCTCGATCTTCTTCCTCCTCGTGATCCGGATGTAGCAGAAGACGGCGGCGAAGATGGCCGCCGCCAGGCCGCCCAGTATCACCTTGCCGCCGGCGAACTTCCGGTCGAACGGGCTGTGGTTGCGGTGGTGCGAGCTCATCGGCGACTCCGCGAAGCTCGACTCGAGAAGAGAATACACATGCAGTAGATGACCACCACCACCACCACCATCTGAAGAAGAAGAAGAAGTAGGCGCATCTGCGATGCTCGCCGCCGCGCCGCCGCCGCCGCCGTAGAAGAGAGGGAATGGCCGGCCCATCACGGCGGTCATGGCGAGCTGGCTCGACACCAAGCAGAAGAGCAGCAAGCGAGGCATCTTCAGAGAGAGAGAAAGAGAGAGAGAGAGAGAGAGATGCTAAGCTGTGAGGAGCTCTCACGATCGAGATAGCTGGTGATTGATGTGGAGAAGACGATGCGAGTGAGGGCTTCTTATATAGAGCTTGGCTGAGCCACTGTGCTGATTCTGCAAGTTCAGTTTGCTCACTAGCTCAATAATCAAAAGCAATATAGTATACTACCTCCGTTTTTTAATAGATGACGCCTTTAATTTTTTTTTCTCACATGTTTGACCATTCGTCTTATTCAAAAATTTTACGTAATTATAATTTATTTTGTTATGAGTTGTTTTATCACTCATAGCACTTTAAGTGTGATTTATGTCTTATACATTTGTATAAAATTTTTAATAAGACGAATGGTCAAACATGTGAGAAAAAGTTAACAGCATCATCTATTAAAAAACAGAGGGAGTATAATTTAATTAATAGCAGCAGAGTGTGCTGTTGAGCAAATGCTGCACGCACCCACTCTTTATGGATCTTGATTTCTAACTAGAGAATTGTCAGTCTCATGGCTGGTGGATGGTGGCTCCAGAAACATGATTGGGGGAGCTGGTGGCTTCCAGGAATCAATTGGGTCGGAGCTCTGAATTCGGAGAGGCACTGAGCAAGTGACATCTGGATTTTGGATGCAAACTCTGAATGTGATGGTAGGAGAAGTCTCAACTCGATTCAGCAATCAGCATGCAGCTACAGCTGTGTCCAGGCCTACTACAGTGAGAGGGAGGTAAAACCTTGTGTTTCTGTTCTAACAGTTTGGTTTCAGGGGCAGGTTCTTGGAAGGTGAAAATGGAACTAATATCAACTTGCAAACCTTGAGATGGATGATGATCGTGTATTTGTTTTTTACAAAGAAGGACTTGTTGTAGATCAGAGAGGGGGAAATTTTCTTGGGAGCTGTGGCTTGAGTATTTTCTTGATCTCCTTTTTGAGCAGGAGGTATTTCTTGATTCGATAGAAAAGTAGACGCAAAAGGAAGCAAAGCATTGTTAAGGTTTAAAAAATAAAGTAGCTTAACCAGAGAAATTATGAGTTTCATTTGTCTGGAACTAATTAATGCAGACTAAATGTATTGAATGTTCAGAACAAGACATGCTTTGCTTCTGAACAGCACAGAAAAATGGCGTGGAATATGATCAAATATGAATTTCATTTTTCTGGAACTAGTTAATGCAGACTAAATTTATTGAATGTTCAGTACAATACATGCTTTGCTTCTGAACAGCGCAGAAAAATGACATGGAATGTGACTGCATTGGATTTACAACTTCACATCTCATCTGAAGAAGTGTAAAATCTGGCTGTTCTTCTCACTACTGAAAAAAAAAACAGAGAAGAAGAATGATTAATTCACAAGAAAATATATGACAGAAACGCCAGATAATGATTTTTCAGTGAGCAAAACCAACGAATTTCGTGTCCCCTATGGTAGTTGACCTATGATCATGTGAGATGCTTCCTCCTTGTTAATTGCAGCTTCGTGCCACTGCATGTGTGCAAGAATCACCAGACAGAGTTTAAACAAACGTTCATTTTTTAATGCGGATTTCATATAATATACCGTGTCCGTGTCATGCAGAAAGCGAACAGCGGAGGCAGAGATAGCAGGAGATGAGCTGCTCTGGTACACCATTGCTGAATTCGCTGCCTCATTTGGTTTCAGAAAGATGCCGTTCTGCCTGTTCTAGGAACATAGGATAGGAGTTAGAAGCTTCTGAGTTCTGACCGAATTGCTCTGTCTGAAGACTACATGTCAAAACTAGCACAAATTACTCTCTTCTTCTACCAATCTGCTTCCCTTATTTCCTCCTTGTGTTGCATGTTGAAAGTGACCACATTCAGTTGATTATTTCTGCTTTCTAAGTCTTGTATAGTTGTATTGAACCAAAATGACATAGATGCCTAGAAGTGCCAAGTAAAATAATTATATGTGCACCTACTGACCTACATCTGTAGTTCTGTACTGTGTTTCGCCAAAAAAAAAAAGAGGTTTACATATCGTGAACGAGACTTCTTATTTACAGTACTTAAGGAGATACCGAGATATACCATAATTTTTAGCATAAATTTTGACACCTGTAGAATCACTCATCCCGAACAATTGCAGCAAGATAACCTTTTTTCACCCAATTCCTGCATAGAACAAGTGTACTGCATACGCGAAAAAGGGCAGCAAAACATTTGGAAATTAATACTAGATGTATAACATGTTTTCATGGAACAAGATAAAAACTGAAAACTTCAAGGCGAAAAAACAATCTCAACTCTAAAGTCTGAATTCTGAACCATGCATGTGATACACACTTTGGCAATCCAGCTGTTCCATTTCTTAGATTCAAGCAAGAATCTAAGGAGTTTCCCCCCTCCATGACTGGAAGCAATGAAGGCCAAATCAGCAAATTCTAGAGTCAGCTGTAATCAGCAAGGTCGGCTAACACGAACACAGGGTCAATCATACCAAGAATCATTGGAGACAAGATGAAGCTTCCCTCGACGGTGCACGCACGCCGGCACGCTCTCTGAAACCGACCAATTCATGGCAACCAACCCCCTCGTGCAACCAGAAATGCAGAGATCTTCAGATACACTGTCCAAAATTCTATCATATCGCACACCAAATGTGCCGGTTGCTCTCTGAACAACTGGAACAGTGAACATGAGTTGTCCTTCGTTTTCAGGATCAATGATTCAATCATAGGACATGAAAATTTTTGGCGTATTTGGAGTAGATAGCCGAGTGAGTGATTGGTTTTCTGTTAAGATCATTATTAGGAGCAGATCTTGTCAGGACCATTCTATCTTCTCGTTATCATTGTTGTTGCCTCTAGCTGATTGTTTTTAAGAGTAATACTAATGACTGTTTTTTCTGTTCCTGCTCCAAGAGATTCCTTGGTGATGCTGACTCAGACTCCAGACACAAGCAGGCCTTTTTTTTTTCCATGAAATGTTTTACAGGGGGATGTGTTGAGCTGTTGACAATGAGCTTAAATGCATTCTGCTCATATCTAGTACTACATCTGATTCAGATGGATGTACTTGTACTGTACTTTTAACATGTGGTTGCTGTTAATTCATGTGCTCAACTTGGAGTTATTATTCAGGTGAAGTTCCATTGTCAACTGTAAGGCCCGAGTCCAAACGTTCCTTGCTCCATTTCTGTCTGAGTCCAAATCTTAGATTGACTTGGATATCCATCTCCTCATACTGGAGTGATAAGAGCTTTTAGTCCCTTCTTAAAGAAAAATAGGGAACTCAAACATTAGTTCAAGCTAACTGGTTCGATATATCAGGTGAAAATGTTAGTATGTTACTTTCCTAGCTTCCACTGCTGACCGCTGGTTGCAAATCAGTAAAACTAGTCAGCATTAGTGCATTGGCGTTTCATGGTTTAAGCAGTAATCGGCTTAGCTTGAAATGAATATCACAGTTCTGGACCGTTGTTAACGGAGCATGTAGAGAGTACGGCCGTACATAAGCTGGAGATGGATCCATGTTTGATAATTCAAATATAAGTTGTACTACAAATCAAACGTTTGACGCCATAGATGAATGGAATATTCTCAACTCAAGGTTTGAAGAGCCAGATGAAACCATATGTAACATTGTCAAACTTACTAATATATACCAAGTTGCCTCCATTTATTTTTACATTAGTGGCTCTGATCCCTGTTCTCGATTTCTGAAGAAGCTGCTTATCATATCAAAACCAATTAGATCAGTGTTGTGCAAGCACGTAATGGGAGGTTACAACTTACATGACACAGAAGATATATGCTCATGGTCATGAAGATCAGGTTGCTCAAGTGGTTAGGGAAGGAATAGCATGAATGTGGCCAGTGTCCTATTCTAACAACCTAATCATACATATTTCCCTCAGAAAAAGAGAAGCAAGGACCCAATGAAAGAGTTTTTTTTATGCTACTTTTCAAAATATCCTGGATTACAGATACACAAAGTGGCATTTGTGAATAAAAGGCCTGATATTTTAAGAGATTGCCTGAACAACAAAATTTCCGTAACCATAGATATTACAGTACAGCTAATGGAATGGTCTGTTTGTTTCTGTCTACCTCTCTTAAGCATGATCATCGATAACTTAATCTTTCACCTGACAGATTTCCACTCCAAACATCAAATTCTGGAGAACTTCTGGAGATGCAGGTAATCCGAATGAAGTCCAAACGCAGAAGGTGCATGAAGTCGTTGAATCCTCAACCTCAGCGCAGACCAAATATTTCTTCTGGGGGATCATAGATATGCCTTTCCGGAAACAATTCTTCAAAATCTTGCTTCACTCTGTTCCTTAAAAGTGGGTGCGGTAAAAGACCCTTCAATAATACCCTGAAAGGTAATTCTTCCGGAGGATCAGGTGACTTTTTCATTTCCTCATAAATGTTCATTGCGTCTGATGGGGAACCGTATCTCAAGAATCCTCTTATGACTTCAGCATATGTCTGTGCGTCAGGGAAAAGGTTCTCATCTGTCATGTTCCCCCAGATTACCATTGCTTCATCCATCTTCTTACACTTGGCTAGAGCAACAATCAAGTCCTTGTACATGAAAACATCTGGCTTGTACCAGTCCTCTTTTTGTATTATCCTAAACATCTGCAAGGCAATCAGGCCAGTCGAATATAAGCAAACATTAAAAAAAATCATTTCCTAATCTTGATCTGTAAAGCCAAGATGAGTTCAGTAGCCACATTTAGTATTATTACAGGTTCATAATCATTTTCAGGTGTTATGGCAATTTCTTGTTAGGACCAGGTGGGCTGCCAATGGGCCAGTACAACAATTCACTCAAGCTGGCCCAAGGAAGAGAACAAAAGCAATGGCAGCTGCTCATTCCAGGAGGCAACCAACAAACAGCAGAAACCGAGAACGGCGGTGACAGTGGTGCTGGCGGTGCGGGCTTGGCTCCTTGTCTATCTACTTCCTTACCCTCCATTCTTCCTCTTCCTGGTTCTAGGAGTTCCTAGATCCTTCTAGAGACTTGTATCCCTACCTTTCTTCCACCTTGTTCCACTCAAATACTTTGTGAGTCGCATTATAAGTTGTTTCTGTTGAATTTGGTGAAGGAGGTTTCTAACATTTCTTTCTAGGAAAACCAACCTGTTGCTAAAATAACCAAAAATCATTTCTCAATCTTGATCTGAATGAAGCCAAGATGAGTTTCATAGCCACATTTAGTATTATTAGAGGTGCATAATCATTTTCAGGTGTTATGGCAATTTCTTTCTCGGAAAATCAATCCGTTGCTACAGAGCTTGTTCTCGTTCAACAATCAAAGGTGAGATCGCGTGTATACTCTGTATGCCATTTCCAAAAACATCCACTAAATGCCATTGCCCATAGTCATTACGTACACATCTAAGAAGCTCAGTTAGCTGTGTTAGAGTTTTTATTGCAATGACAAAATACCCCTGCCTATTGGCCCTCCATATATCTATCTTGATTTTCCATTTTTCCATATAGCGAAATGCTACTAATATAGTGATGATCCGCCTTATGGAGCAAATCTACTGCGCCCTTGTGCTTCACAAATTGAGTCACAGAAATCATAAATTCACCCTTCTCAAGCAGCCAAACAAAAATCTTAAAACCTTCACCAAACATTCTGTGCCTCCGCACAGTAGCCCCAAAAAAAAATCACCTCAACAAACTACTAATGTTGGAACTTACCTCCTATGCCATCTCCAATCCATTCATCAATAACCTAATATCTCTATCAATCTCAAGCAAATATCAAACATACAGCCCAGTTTCCATGAGCACCAACGTGATTCCATTTTTTGCAAGCCAAAATTGCACACCCGACTCGCTTCACGCAACATAATCCATCCCCCCCACGCAGACAAATTGGGGCATATCGGCTAAACGCAATCAACCGCAACGAGAGGGGAGCAGAAAAAAAAAAGGGGGGGGAGCCTGACCTTGACGGCAAGATCGACCTCCTCCTGGCGCTCCAGCTCCCCGAGCACGGCGAGCTTGTCGGCCTTGAGCAGCCGCGCCACGTACCGCCTCACGAACTCCCCGAGCCTCTCCTCGTCCCCCTTGAACCGCTTCAGCCCCTGGATCGCGAACAGGGCCTCCTTCCCGATCAGCTTCTTGCTCCGCCACAGCGGGCCCCGCGGCCGCCCGTCGTGGAACGCGCGCCGCCGCTCGCATCCGTGGGGCGGCGGCGGAGGCGGAGGCGGCCACAACGCGGGGGGCCTCGGGAGGAGGCTGTGGGTCGACGAGGAGGAGGAGGAGGGGGAGGAGAGAGGGAGGGCCTTGTAGCGGAGGAGGAGGAGGGAGCGGCGAGCGAGGGGAGCCCGAGAGGCCGCGGCCATGGCGGGGGGGCAAGGGTGCAAAACCCTCCTCCTCGCCGCCGTCTCCGTTTTGGGGTTGGTTGGGTTTAGTGGTGGCGCCGTGGAGACGACGACGAGCCCACGAGGTGGTTGAGTCCAACCCTGTTCTTGCGACGGAAGAATGGGCTGAATTCCGGCCGGTTTGGGCTACTGTGCAGTGCAATCGTGGATTCAAATCTGTCTACATTTATTGGTGTAGGATGGGTTGCATCTAGTTTTATGTTTGTTTTTTTAACGGAGGAAATATTGTCATATTGTGCTATATTTACTGTAAAACATTAGGTTTGTTTTCAAGCGTACGCTTCCCAATGATAAACAATGTGTTTTTTAAAAAAAAACTAGTCACGTGCCCGTTCATTGCAACGGGAAAAATAACTTTTTAAGAAATTTTATGATTTATCGTTGATAAACACTCGATTCTATAACGCCTTAGCAAAAGCAAGTAATATATAATTATTATGTTTTCTTTCTTTTTGCGTTGTTATCGGTTGAACTCCGGTAGAGCCTGAAAAGATCATGTTCCTCATAAAATGTGGCATGTACTAAGCAAGCCAAGACCTACTGCACTGAAATAACTACTAGCACAAATCAGCTCTTTGCAATTTAGCTCCCTCAATCTTTTCCAATGTCTTGTAGGGAAATTTCCAATATCTTGTATGGAAACAAAATAAACACAATATTTATGTATATACATATATAAATTACAGTATCATATTCCAAATGGTCAGTTGACTGTCAAGTAGTACAAGTAACAAGAATGGTAACTTTAGAGTTCCATCATCCCTAAATAATACGTACATTGCCTGCAGAGAGTTCAGAAGTGAGTCCAGGAGGGAAAAATATTTCCCGCATCAACTAATTAGCTCTCCCAGTAAAGAAATTCAACATATGGATTTACCCTGGAGTAATTTCTAAACTTAGATACAAAAATGAATAGAAGGGCCAGCCATTGCTGATTTGCAGGGGATAAAGATGGAGAGTGAAGAACATGGCATTTTCATCAGAGTTAGGGGATAGTGATTACTCTGTACCTTCAGGGCTTGGCTAGCTAAGATGATAAAGCTAATGTTGATCGTGAAAAGATTTAACATGTTGATGAGCCCATGTAAGTGATTTTTTTTTACCTGTAGTCACCAAAATAAAGGTTACTCAAACTGCAAAAACAAAATTAGCATATTTTATGAATAAAAGAAATCCACAAGAAGTAAATTTCATATCCAATTGAAATAGTATGAATTATCAAAAATATGATGTAGCTATCTTGATTCTTGACTCTCCATATTGATCTCCGAAGAGAATGAATTTTGCCTTATCAAATTTAAATTCCATATTGATATCAGATTGCCCAGTACAGTAAAGTGGTCAACAAGCAGCAGTCCCAAATGCAATGTTAATAGAAGGTCAGGTCATATTATCCTTGTAAAGGCCTTTGAAATTTCATGGCAAAAAAAAGCCATTGAAATTGTCACTATGCGAAGGAATTGCAACAGATGGTATAAGTTCAGTACAGTGAAAAGGAAAATGCAGAGCAGAACATCCTCTGACTAATAATGCCAAAAGGAGCCCCATCCCCCGTCCAGTTCTACAGAATGTGGACTATCAATAACCATTTCTTAACTGCTAAACGATTACTATGTTCCAAAAAATATAGTCAGTACTATTCGATATTCGATGTGTGCATAATATAGGAGTGAATTATGGCAGATGACAATTAGAAAATAGAGTTTACTATGCAAAGGTTGATACCTATCTGGTTTTCATTTAATTCAAAACCAAGGGAAATAGATGATCATACCTGGTGTTATAATTTCATTGAGAAGCTAGAAAAGCATCTGAACCCTGTACATGTATCAAGAGTTTAGATTAACTAAAAACAGTGTCCAGGATTATACATGACCACTAAGGTTCATTCTTTTAGACGTGTGGAAGACAACTTCACATCCTGCCAAATGATCAAGAATCATCAGCCTGAAAGGCTGAAACAGACATCGCAGGAGACATCACAAATGGTGTTTATGAAGCTGTATAGTTGATTAATTATCAGTTCAGAAGTCAGAACAATTATTAGTTCATAATGTGACCATACTAAAACAATTATTAGCCTGTCAGTTCTATCATCAGTTAGAAAATTATATGAGAATATACATGTCGGTTCTACAGTAAGAGAAAAACCATCCAGAATAATCCTGATTAACCAGATACTATTGTCCTTTGGAGATGTTTAGACACGTGCAGGCAGTTATGCGTTGTTCATAGACATGAATACTTTAGTTATTACTCCTATTATCTAACTAAATGAATTCTTCAGTGATACTACCACATAACATACCACTAACACAGAATGCATTACCAAAATGTTGTTTTTGGTTATTTTCTTTTGGTTGAATCTCGTCTGATCAAATCAACGGCGGCTGATAGGGGAGAGATGAAGCATAGTACTGATGGTGGATAAAAAAAAGGGAATGATCTTGTACCTTTCGGTGAATCAGATCGAGGCGGGGCGACATTGTTCTGGCAGCGCTGAGGAGATCAGCAAGGCAAGGGACGAGGCGTTTCATGCTGATGCTATTCCGGCGGCAGAGATTGGTGGCGGCGGAGAAGGAGGCGGACGAGGAAGATATTGGGACGGCGCTGAGGAGATCAGCTTGGTGGGCGACGCAGACCCAGGCGACTCCGGGCGATGGTGATCTAGCGGCGCGGATTGGGGAGAGTGAGCCAAGAGGCAAAAGCAGCAAGCATCGGTCTCCTGGCGAAATGGAGGAGATCGGCGAAGTAGCCAACGGCGAGCGTCGGTCACCCGACGGCGCAGTCGTGGTTGTTCTGGCGGCGCAGAGCAGATCAATGAAGCAGCCGAGTAATTAGGGTTGGGTAGAGAGAGAAGGGGGAGGTTGGGGTGATGCAAGAGGGGACCTGTACGGCTGTACCTATAGAGGGAGACGGTGGCGTCGAGGACGGAGGCGGAGGCAGAGGCGACAGATCGACCTCCGTGGCGGTCGTGACCAGCGGAGGTGTCGGCGGCCTAGACACACATAAAATTAGACACTTAGCGCAAATGCTAAATGAATAGCTCAGCACAAAATAGCAAGGTTATGACTACTAGAAATAGTAATACTTGTGAAAAGCATTATAATTCTTTCCCAGTGGTTTAAACAGGCAGAAGAAAAATACTTTATGCCATCACATGATAATTCCCAGTGGTTTAAACATGCATGCACATTAGTCTCCTGCCAAATCCTGCTGAACATAGTACACAAATTCATCTAATGGGATGCCATTTGACAGAAAATATCTCCCCAGCAATCAGCTCAGCAGAAAAATCTGAGTTTGATTTGCTAGTAAACTGCAGAACATTGAATGAAAATACACTATCGACTTACTTATAACAACTGTGCACTTAAATTACAATGTGCCAATCAGAAGAGTTGTTTGCTATCTCACACAAAATCACACCATTTCAATTCAGTTTTCAAAATTACTCTGAAATATGCAAATGGAAGAACCCTTTATCAATCTCTGAGCAGGAGTCAGGAGCAAACAAACGGACAGGGGCAGAACATCAAGACTGAAATCGAAACATGGTAAAAGCATGAAAGGCATACATAAACCATTTCTTTCTCCATTTTTTCTAATGTTTAGAGAAAGACAGACTCACCGTATCAATGCCAAAAAAAATTCAGCAGATGCCAAGTGCATGTCCCTGAACTCCCGCTTGATTCCTCCTGGATCTAGGTTTCCTGGGATTGAAAAGTGGCATTTACATCTCGTGATCAACAATATACAGAACCTAGTTGGGGGCTTTGAACTGGGGACGGGGGAGCAGTAGTCCCGGTGACCTAGGCTAGGGATGAGGCAGCAATGGTCAGTTGGGGATCGGGCAGCGGCGACGGTGACCTAGCAGCGGGGATTCGGCGGCTATGTTGTGAGTTGTGCAGGCTGCGATGGCTGGTTGGGGATTGGGCAGCGGCGACGGAGATGGTAACCTAGACCTAGCAACCGGGGATTCGCAGCAGCGTGGTGTGGCGTGCGGGCGGCAATGGCCGGTTTGCAGGTCGGGGATGGTGTGGCGTGCGGCTATTGCGGCAGCGGCGGCTGACAGAAGTGGTGGGACAGGAGGGGATACATACCTTCAGATGACGGCGATCGTGACCGGCGGAGGTGGCGGCAGTCGAGGGCGGCGTGGGTCGTCGCGACGGCGGCGAGGAAGCGGCTCCTCGGCGGTGTTGACGCGGCGTGACCTCCTGCTCCCGCGTTGGCGGTCGAGGGCGGCGCGGGACGCGGGACTCGGGGCGCGGCGACGGCAGCGAGGAGACGGCGCGGGTCGCAGCGTCGGCGGTCGAGGGCGGCGCGGGGCACGGGGCTGCTGAGGAGGCGATGCGGCGGCGAGGCGAGGAGGCGACGCAGGGAGGAGGGCGAAGGTGGATGATCGATCCGATGCGAGGTGGAGGCGCGTTGGAGAGGGCGGCGGCGATCGCGGAGGAGGCCGGCGGGCGTGGCTGGTGAGGAGGCGATGCGGCGGCGGGGCGAGCGTCACCCATGGAGGAGGGCGAAGGACGCGGCGTGGGAGGAGGAGTGGGCGTGGGGAGGAGGTCGATTCAAGAGAGGAGCGAGCGCGTGATGGGGAGGAGATTGACGCCGTTGGATATGGCAATCGGATGGATGAGATTACGTGTGTCTGTAAGATGCGTCTGCTATGTCAGAAATCAAAACCACCACTACGAATTTTTTAAGTAGTAGAGATTATACGAAAGTTGCTTTTAAATCCTATTAACTAATACTAATTATCATGTGCTAATTTGCGATGTTTTACATATCGAAGAGATTAGCTTCCATCCCCTACCGACGAAAGCAGTCTTAGAATTTCTTTTTTTTTTCTAACATCATGAGTCGACTGTCACAAAACCTAAGCAGAACAACGGCAAGAGGGCATGCAACACAAGCGCTATCCACGCCGCAATTTACTCACACGCCGACGTTGCTATCTTCGACTTCTTCCATCTCATAAAAAACCGAATCCTAGTATTACGAATCTAGACTAGAAATTTGACATTACGCTATTGTCACAAGTGGGTTTCACCCAAATGCCACCATGCAGTTTCGTTTCGACAAAATGCCACTTTAACTGTTGTTACATGCTAGAATACTATATGGGACCAAATTACCCTTAGCCTCCTCCTTTCCCCATCTTCTCTCCCCAACTCCGGCGTCATCTCTCCCTCTATAATTGCCACCGGTGAGCCACCGACCACCCCGGCTTCTTACCTTCCTCCTTCATTGGCAGATGCAAAGGAGCTGCCAGGGAGAGAAATAAAGGAGCTAGAGGAGGCCGTTGCCGCTAGCCTCGGAGTTGAGGCATGTCGACCATCACGTTGGAGTTGGAGGAGGCTAGCCATCATGCCAAGGATCAAGAACGCGGCGGCGACATGAAAGCCGGAGGAGGCTGTCGCCGCCGTCTACTCATCCCTTCGTGCTGTTGTTTCTCATGCTCTCAAACCACGACGCGGTGTGCCACCAGCCGCCTCACTTGCTTGTGGGCGCGGAAGGAGCATGCGATGTCGCTCGACATCACGGGAGCATGATAGCATGGATGTGGCTGGATACGCCGCCGACGAGGTGGAAACCGTGCGGCACGACGTCGAACGACACAACTTGCTTGGGGATGGGCAGTGACCGCACGGGCACCCACGACAGGAGGTTGGAGCCGACTCCCATGGTGAGCATACGTGTGATGCGGGGACAAAGAGCCCACCACCGCCGTCGTGGTAGGCCGTGAGGATGAGCTCGTCGTTGCCGGACAGCTGCTGCTATGAGAAAGAAGATGAGTGGGGGTAATTTGGTCCCAGATAATATTGTAGTGTGTAGCTATAGGTTAAGAGTGACATTTTATCGAAACTCATTCGAAAAGTAGCATTCGATGACAATGGCATAATGTCAAATTTCTTAATGTATAATTTTAGATTGTTTTTCGTGGGACGGAGGGAGGGAGTAGCCTCATGCGTAGTAATCTCCTAGCCACCGCCAACCGACGACAAATCCTCGATCCAACGCCTTCCCCTCCGGCGCCGAGCGCAGATGAGGCTCGTGATTCAGTGAAGATGAGGAGGAAAAAACAAAGAACACTAGTTGAGGAATCGAACACGTAAAATGATCTGCACAAGAACGGGAACGGTAGTAGGAGAATCGACCGCAGCTGTCGATCAACTTCTTTTGAGAGAATAATACTGACGACAGTACATCAAATTTCAACAAGCAAGCAGTCATTTTCTTGCAGTACGACTGTCGACCGTTAGATCAAACTGAATGGATGGCTCAGATTACAATACTGTGAGGTACCAAAAGTTGTTTCAGAGATATCAGATCTCGTTGCATCATTTGCGCGGTTACACTTACATGGTACTGTGCTCTTTGCTCCAGTCATGGCCTCATGGGCCTCCAACGATATGAATATCTTTTCACCGTTTTTGAGAATTCCCATGATCCTGACTGTATGTACAAAGTACTCTGACCCAACTACCTTCAGCCACCCATCCACAAAGAGAGAGAATTCCAATCAACCTGTACCGGCCAGGAAAGAGAAGAGTTTGAGATCTCGCAGTACATGATTGATATCTTCAGTTATTCTTCATGATCTCCCTCCAATAACTAACAATAGGAGTATTGATAGAAGATAAGGAAAATAGCTTTCTTCCTCTGTTTTTTCACTTTCTCTCTCTAGCATATCTCTATCTTTACTACCTAAGGCTGTGTTCTTCCCTAAGGCTGCGTTCGGATGAGGGGGTTCCCAACCCCTCTCTCTCGTATTCCGCACGCACGCTTTTCAAACTATTAAACGGTGTGTTTTTTGCAAAAAGTTTCTATATGAAAGTTGCTTAAAAAATCATATTAATCCATTTTTTTTTAAAAAAATAGCTAATACTTAATTAATCACGCGCTAATGGACCGCTCTGTTTTCCGTGTATGGGAGATGGGTTCCCAACTCCCACCTCCGAACACAACCTTAGTTTCCCAACTCACTTCTTTCGTTTTTCGTGCACACGCTTTTAAAACTGCTAAACGGTGTGTTTTTTTTAAAAAAAAATCTATAAGAAAGTTGTTTAAAAAAATCATATTAATCTATTTTTTTAAAAAAATTAGTTAATACTTAATTAATCATGCAATAATACGTACTTCGTTTTGCGTGCCGGGGAGGAAGGGTTCCCAACCCCTCCTCCCGAACGTAGCCTAAAAAGAGAATCGTTCTTCTCCACAGACATGTAAAAACATATTTTCCCTTATAAAAAACGTCCACCCTTAAAACATAGATTTCTAAACAAAACCAACCATTATAAAGAAAACCGAATATCTTACTATACGTAAATCCTCTCACTAAATTGAATAAAAACAGTTTGCAAGGCACATGCATATAGCCGGAAGATGGAAGCTCCATACCACACCGGTCATATCGATATAATTTCCTTCCTTTACTATTAGTTGAAACATGTGCGGGTTTCGAGAGGTAGTAGTTTTTTTTTAATGAAACTATATACACAAAGTTTTTCTTTTCAAAGTTTATAGAGACTGGTGTGGCGTGCTATGAGTAAATTTAAATTTCATATAATTTTTATATAGTAAAATTAAACTCAAATACTGTTTAAAGCAGAGCTATTAATATTAATGAGGCCATACACACTGCATGAAGGAATCACAATTGCACAGTTTATTTTCACAATTGCACAATCACAATACACACTGCACGTAGATTTTCACCGAATATTTCTGATGGAGACTTAGTAATAGACTTGAGTTAAGTTATTTATTTTCTTTGGTTAGTATTGGTGTCTCATCTTTTTTTTATGGTTATATAGCTTTAGTCGAAGCAAATGCTAGGTTTTTATTTATTATTAGAAAAATCTTTGTTTAATTCTGTTATACTCAGATTTCGAGTAACAGTGGTTGTAGGCTTATGGCTGTGTTTAATTCAATTTTTTTTCTTTAAACTTTAAACTTTTCCGTCACATCAAATGTTTGGATAAATACATGGAGCACTAAATGTGGACGAAAAAAAGCAAATTGCACTGTTTGCATGTAAATCACGAGACGAATCATTTGAGCCTAATTACGCCATGATTTGACAATGTGATGCTACAGTAAACATTTGTTAATGATGGATTAATTAGGCTTAATAAATTCGTCTCGCGGTTTATAGGCGGAATCTATAATTTGTTTTGTTATTATTCTATGTTTAATACTTCAAATATGTGTCCGTATATTTCAAAAAAAATTTGGCACACAAACTAAACACAACCTATATAGCTTTAGTTGAGCAAATGTCTTGTTCATGTCAACTAAAAAGTGTAATCGTCCTCCTTCCCGTGTGTAACACGATTACACGTGTAGCGCACATAAGCACCAAATTAAATGTTCATCATTTAAATCGTATTTATAGTCCATTCTTACTTATATGGGCCTAGCGCATTATAACGTAGGGATATATTATGCAAGTTAAATTAAACTTATGATAATCTTTTTTTTTCTCTTTTTTTTCCGTAGCAGTAGTTTCTTTTTTTTGGTCCTTTTTAGCGTGTTGTTAATCTCTCTGCAATAGCCTCTGATCGTTGCATTGTATAACTCTAGTACTCTACTTTGTTTTAATATATTAACGTATATAATACTTTTACGTGTTGGTGAAAAAAAAACTAACAATAATCTTCTCCTCTCCGTCAAACGGCGGCACGACGCGGCGCAGTGCAACCAACAAACCGGGGCGGGCGGGGCATCCACAACCAACCAACTCCCCACCCCCGGGAAGGGAAACAAACCCACCCAAGCAGAGCATCTCGCCTCCTCTCCTCTCCCCTTGCGTTCAGCCCCTTCCTTGCATTGCTTTCTCCATGAGATTCCTCCTCCTCCTCCATCCTTATAAGCCACCCGCAACCGCAACCCCGGGAAGGAACAGGAAGGAAGCAAGTGCCATCGAGTGTGGTTGAGAGAGTTTGAGACTTGAGGCTGCGCTGCGCTGAACCTGTCGTTCGGTGGGAGGCAAGAAGAAGGTGGTGGTGGTGGTGCAGCAATGCCGCGGCGCGCGAGGGCGAGGGGCGGCGGCGGCGGCGGCGGGGAGGAGGTGAAGGTGGAGGATGACTTCATCGACTCGGTCCTGAATTTCGGTGGAGGTGGTGGGGGAGAGGAGGACGGCGACGACGGGGAGGAGGAGCAGCAGCAGCAGCAGGCGGCGGCGGCGGCGATGGGGAAGGAGTTCAAGTCCAAGAACCTGGAGGCCGAGCGGCGGAGGAGGGGGAGGCTCAACGGCAACATCTTCGCGCTCAGGGCGGTCGTGCCCAAGATCACCAAGGCAAATGCATTCTTGAGCTTCCTCCCCACTTTTACTGACCACCACCAGCTGATTCTTGCACTGATCATACAAACTTCGCATAATCAGATATGAACCTGTTTATACTTACCTAACCCTCTCTCGATTCTCTGGAAATCGTGATTGCTTCACCGGGGAAAGGATTTCTTGATTCCGGTTTGTCATTCCTGACATGTTCTGATGGTTGGTTTTCTCTGCTGTTGCAGATGAGCAAGGAGGCCACCTTGTCGGACGCGATCGAACACATCAAGAATCTCCAGAACGAGGTTCTTGAGCTGCAGCGCCAGCTCGGCGACTCACCCGGTGAGGCTTGGGAGAAGCAATGCAGCGCGTCCTGCTCTGAATCCTTCGTCCCCACTGAGAACGCCCATTATCAGGTAGCAGCCGCTGTTCTCAAGTAGTCTATGTTTTCCATCAAAGTTCACACTTCAGAGAGTAGTGGTCTGTACTCTTTAGAACCCCACTGTGCGTCCCTGGGACTAATTCTGAACAACCAATGCTGCAATCTGGAAAATATGATCACTCAACTTCATACAACTTTAGGCCCAGATTGTTTCACAATTCGATTACATGAAGTCGCAGTCTCGCAGACAATTGGCAGATATTTGAAGCTCCTTAACCTTTTTCGCTTAATAGACAATAAACACACCTGAAGAAGGGTGAAAAATCTAATCCTTATTTGGTTTAGTAGACTAATGTCCAACTTCATTGATCCACAGTTAGACTAGCCATGGACTTTTGTGAGAATTTTTCAACTTACATTCAGACAGAGCTTGATCTCAGAAATGACTTAACATGAACACAAAAAATATTGGATACAGATTCATCTATTTTTCTGTGACAAAATTTACCTCTGATATCTGATTCCTCAGTCTCTCAACAATCTACATTTACACAGGGTCAGGTGGAATTGATCTCTCTTGGGTCATGCAAGTATAACCTGAAGATCTTCTGGACCAAGAGGGCAGGCCTCTTCACCAAGGTGCTGGAAGCACTCTGCAGCTACAAAGTGCAAGTGCTCAGCCTGAACACCATATCCTTCTACGGCTACGCAGAGAGTTTCTTCACCATCGAGGTAAACTAAATATGGCCAAAATTTTCCTGCTACGACACAAGATTGCATTGCATGTAGATTTCGCTGAACTTTTTAACCCATTCTTGTGAGTTTTAGTCTTCTGATAAGTTGGCCACTCACTCCTGTCTCCATCTGCAGGTGAAGGGTGAGCAGGATGTTGTGATGGTGGAGCTGAGGAGCCTTCTCTCCAGCATTGTGGAGGTTCCAAGCATCTGAGACACTCCTGACTACAATAAACTCACATGACTCATGTTAAGAGAGCACATATGTTTCTCTGGAAGAAATAATTCCAGTAGCAGTTCTCTTTGTAGGGAGAATACAGTGGTACATGTTTGACTGAATGACTGATGACATAGAAGGGGGAAAAAAGGACTAAATTTTGTGTTGAAATTGAGCACAGTGGCACAATGAACTCGCAACATGTGAAAGTTTCTGTTCTTTTCATCTTCTTGACGACTTGGTTGTTTGATTCATTTATTGCTTTCAGTTTAGGCTCTTGAACTCACTCACCCCTGGAGAACTGGAGATTTAGTAAACATGTGTATTAGAATTAATCCGGTAAAAAATTTCGTTAATGCTTGGATTTTGTAAGATCTAGCAAAGACGAATTCCTGCACTGAAAATCGCAAAGATCCATGTCGAACTCAAGTCCAGATCCTAGTCGAAAACGGAAGGGGAGAAAGAAAAAACCAACACCTCGCAGGAAACAGCAGAGACCTCCTCCATTATATCCCGCCGGAGGTACGCCGCCGCAACAGCCGAAGAGGCTTCTTCTCCGGCAACCGGCGGCGGCGGCGGCGACGAGGCGAAGAACAAAACGATCGGGGAAGAGACGCTTTGAGATTCGGGCAAACAGGTGGCAGGCCACTACTCCTCCACGTGGCCGTGTGGCGTGGGACCCACACCCATCAGGACTCGGCCACTCGTGTCTCTCTCTCTCTCTCTCATCTCTAATTTTTTTGCCCCCCGTCTCTCTCAGATCTTCTCCTCTCTCTCTTCTTCTCTTCTCTTCTCCTCTCTTCCCCGTCGCCGCGCACCTCCCGATCCCTCCCTCCGCTCGCTCGCCCATCGCGCCAGGTGAGCCAACGCCCGCGATCCCACCACTCCTCTCGAGTCGCTCGCTTGCGAGCGCGCGCGCGGTGCGGCGCGGCGTCACCCCGATCGCTGTGGTTGGGGATTTTCCGGGGGTTCGATCGGATCCGTGGGCTGAGGAAACCGGGGGGCGTTTTGATCTGATCCGTGGCTTGATTTTTCGTCTGCTCTTGCAGGTGGGCTCTTTGGACACCCGGTGATGGATCACGCGGAGCTGACCACCGAGCAGGTTAGTTAGTGATTGGGATTTGCCTCCTCCCCCGCGGGGCGGATTTAGCTTTGGTGTGCTGATAAACCTGTTCTACTGTCGAATTGTTGATGCTTGCGAGCTTCCATGTGTTCAAAGTGTTTATGATTTAGTACCTGTCTACATTGTAGTAGATTATAAGTATGCTTACGCTCATAGATGGGATACCCTTTGCGATCGATCAGTGTTAACCAGCGTGGTTTTCGAGTGGAAGTAGATGCCGTTGTGATTGTGTTAGGAAGTGAGAAGATTTTTCATATAAGGTGTTTTTCAACTGAGTAGAGTGTCAGGAGAATTTTAACGGAGTAGATTATGGTGTAGTGGTATTTGGAAGCTGACCAGTTTTTTTTCCTCTCACTTCAATGCATGCTTTTATGTTGGGGGTTAGACTGGTAATCATGGGTTTGTCCGAATACTACTTTATCAAGTCATGTCCGAACTAAACTATAGTTGTGAACTTTTTCTTTAGCTAAAAAGCGGTCTGTTTCATTGATAGAATCTGCGATTGTCCTGTTAAGGATTTTTAGCTAAAATACCAGCTTGTAAAGTATAGTATGGGTCGATTCTAACATCTTACGTGACTCTGTCCTTCATTAGAGATTGCACAGAATTTTGTTCTGCTTCCACAGAGATATGCCTATGGTTTATGGACGCATTCAGTTCTTATGTATGTGCCACAGTAACATGTAAAATTTGCTTTTATTGAAGGGAACTGTAAACATCAAATTGGGAATGGCAAACTTTTCCGTACTGTAATATTGTTACTTTTCTGGTGGACAAAATCCTCCTTTTTTCTTGTACCACGGATAAATTCTGGCTCTAGGCAACAGTGAACCTGCTGATATGTGTTCTGTCATACTCCCTCCGTTTCATAATGTAAGACTTTCTAGCATTATCCACATTTATATAGATGTTAATGAATCTAGACACACATATATGTTTAGATTCATTAACATCTATATGAATGTGGGCAATGCTAGAATGACTTACATTATGAAATGGAGGAAGTATATATTATGCATTATAGGCTTTGTAGATTTTAGTGTTAGCCTGTTAGGCACTGAACTGCAGATGCTATCTAATTTGTGTCTATCAAGTTCATGCGAAAGTATAAATTTGTCACATTCCCCCGAATACTTGTCATGTTCCTTGATAGATAGGGCTCCTTTTTCCATGAGAACTTCTTGAGCGTAGAAAAATTTTCATTTGCATTACATTTTATGGGGGAAAAACTTGCTTTATGCTGATCTGGACTCTGTCTTTGCATTTCAAGGTTCTCAAGAGGGATATTCCATGGGAATCATACATGGCAAATAAGCTGATTTCCGGGACATGCCTTCAGCTTTTGCGACGTTATGACCACAAACCAGAAAGCCAACGAGGTCCTTTGCTTGATGAGGTGAGTGTCGTTCTCATCCTCAACAATTTCTGTGGGTAAATGAGTTTAAGCACCATCATGTGATCGCTTTTCCTTAAGAGATTTCATATTGACTTCTTAGTGCTGATTTTGCTGTTTTGTGCACTTCTGTTTGGCTATGGTAATTTGCATTTGCAACTGTTCTCTTGACATAATGTCCACTGGAAATTCTTTTAGGATGGGCCATCCTATGTTCGAGTGTTCCTGAATATCTTGCGGAACATCTCCAAGGAAGATACTGTTGAATATGTGCTTGCCCTGATTGATGAGATGCTTGCAGGTGGGAAACTAGTTATCTGCGATATGGTTAAACAAAACTCTTCTGATGAGTTACACCTGTTAAATAATTGCCTTTGTTTTCAGTAAATCCTAAACGAGCAGCACTGTTCTATGATAACTCTCTCTCTGGTGAAGACATCTACGACCCTTTCCTAAGTTAAGTATTCTAGAATTGTATATGTTCTATTATGAGTTTTTTCATAATACCATCTTACCTGTAATCTAATGTGTTGTAAAGATAGAAATAAACCAACATAGACTGTGACAGATTTCTTGTATATTTTGAAGAGGCATTGTCATGGGAAGGATACATCTTGTAATTGTTGAATTGGTCTACCTTACAGTAGGATAGGATCATTCTGTGGCGGCTATAAAAACCAAAGAGATGATCAGTTGATCATACAATGTGATGTCATTATCAACATTTGGCATAGTTCCAGATCAGTTACTTGGATAAATTTTTACCTGTGTGCTGTTATCCTCAATGGTATAATTTGAGAATGTCAGATATTTCTTCTCCTAATCTCAGTTATCTCACATTTATCCATGAACTTATGCCATCCAAGATTTCACCATCCAATCCTGGCAACTATACTATAGATACTAAACCATTACGTTGGTTAAACACGTGATTTTACACCATCTAAACTGGGATGAATCAACCAGTCTAACTGTTTACAATCTTTGCATTTTTGTTGTTTAGGTTTGATCTCTGATTGTCATATTTAGCTAACAAAATTGTCGTTTTCAGATTGCTCTTGAAAGGTAACTGGTTTGTGCAAGAAAAAAGTTGTAAGATATTGACCCAAATAATAAGGTATGTTCTGTCCATATCTGCGTGTTTGTTGTCTTGTTCTGGAGAGTCTAATTTTTATGCGATTATAGTGCACGACCCAAGATGCAGAATGGCATAGTTCCAAATGGAGAGGCTTCAAATTCAAAGAGCAAGCTAACATCTACTCAAGATGTGTTAAGAGGTTTGGTTGATTGGCTCTGTTCTCAGGTATAACCTGCGAATGGCCTAATTTATTCTACCCTTTCATATACTATGTTACAAAACTAGTGTTCAAGGGTTCTGAACTTTGAGAATGTTGTGTTTTGCAGCTGAGGAATCCTACCCACCCAAACTGTTCTGTTCCTACTGCTATGCATTGTCTTGCCACTTTGCTAAGAGAGCAGTATGTTAGAGCTTTATTTGTTCAGGCGGATGGTGTAAAACTGCTCATTCCTTTAATTTCTCCAGCTTCCACACAACAGTCGATCCAGGTATTTGTTGAGTCCTGTAATAATAACCAAAGCTGAACTTTTCTTTCCCCAAATTGCTATATTCTTTTCCTTGATATAGGATACATATATCAATTTCCTTTTTTTTGTTTTAAAAGGGAGCTTTTCAAAACTAACGAGCTAATTAACAAACGGGATATTCACCTTTGATGAGATGCCATATTTAACAAGATTGTGCACATACACGGACATCAAACATAACTGTTCTCTCATTTACTTTGTGAACTAATTTGCTCAACCTTCTGCTTACCCTTATTGTGTCATTTGCAGCTTCTCTACGAAACTTGCCTCTGCATCTGGCTTTTATCCTTTTATGATGCAGCCGTTGATTATTTGTCCACTACAAGGGTTATGCCAAGACTTGTAGAGGTTGTGAAAGGTTCAACAAAAGAGAAGGTGAGGTTTGAAGTATTGTTGTTTTGTCGTGTTGTCACATCTCCTTTGTATCAGAAATACCATTCATGTTTTTCCTAAAATAATTGCAGGTTGTCAGGGTCGTTATCATGTCTATCCGTAACTTGCTTGCAAAGGGTGCGTTTGCTGCCCAAATGATTGATCTTGGACTGCCACACATAGTACAGAATTTGAAAGCTCAAGCATGGACTGATGAGGTGAGGAGCTTACCAAGGCTTTTGATTTCAATTTTTGCATTGACAGGATATAATTCATACCATCTTTATATCTGAAGCATAGTTTGAAGCAAAATATTTCAAGGGAGTTAAAAGACAAGCATATCCTTTCTTATACTGTCCCATCTGAAATAAATAACCCTTTAGGAGTCCAGCACTCCAGCATAATAAAGTGTTGTCTTCGTTACTACTTTACTTCAAACTGTATGCTGCGTAGTGAACTTTGTGAGTTATTTACTCCAGCATAATAAATAATCCTTTAGGAGTCCAGAACAGTTCCGTTTTTGCTATGTCTCACAATATTATTAAGCACATGAATTTCTACGACTTTCTATGCCTTAAGAAACATGTATAGTTTTTTTTGCTGTGAACGTGTTTTAACATGATTTACATGTATGTATACTTTCAGAATATTTAAAAATCATACAAGGGCAAAAGGGGTGTATCTACACTTGAACTGTCAAATATGTTTATTTATTCACATTTGAGCTTGTCTTTATCTCTTTTGAACTGACAACCTTCTTTTTACAACCTATGCACCCAGGATTTATTAGATGCGCTGAATCAGCTAGAAATAGGACTCAAAGACAACCTTAAGAAGTTGAGTTCATTTGAGAAGTACAAGCAACAAGTTCTTCTTGGCCATCTTGACTGGTCTCCAATGCACAAAGACCCAAGTTTCTGGCGCGAGAACATTAATAATTTTGAAGAAAATGATTTCCAGGTATGCTTTGTCCTTTATTGGATGGGAAATATTCCAATCAATATTTTATGGAACTTCAGTAAGACTATTGGAGATTCTTTATGCTTGCCCTTGTTCCAGGTCATTCCTTGAGCCAATTCACATACAATTCAAAATGAATGCCAAAATACTTATGAGCACGTTAATACCCCTGTATAGCATATGTTCATACCTGCAGATTCTACGGCCGTTTGATGCGGTTAATTAATCTTATGATCTTCGTTTTCTCTTGTAAGAATTGACCAAGTAGCACACGATTATATACAGGATGTAGTTAAACCCAGACACTTCTATTTAATATATTTATATACCAGTATATACTACCACGCATCATGTGGTTATTGACTGGTCACAGTTAGCACCCGATCAAAGCTTTGCCTATAATAATTCAAACAAATGAAAACCCTAATTTATCTGTAATTTTTTTAAGTAGTGGACTCAAACATAAATATTTTGAAATAACACCGTCAACTTTCAATTTTTGCAGATTCTACGTGTGCTTATGACAATCATCGACACATCGGCCGACACGACTGCTCTTGCTGTCGCCTGCTATGACCTCTCACAGTTCCTTCAGTACCACCCTTCTGGGCGCATTGTGGTGGCAGATCTGAAGGCGAAGGACCGAGTGATGAAGCTCATGAACCACGAGAACGCCGAAGTGAGGAAGAATGCCCTGCTCTGCGTGCAGAGGCTTTTCCTTGGTGCGAAGTACGCGAGCTTCCTGCAGACCTAAGACCCAGACAAGAAACTCTTGAAGTTTTGTATTTATGCTTTAGAGCCAGAGAAACACCAGGCCATTTGTCATAAATGGTGAAAACCATGATTGAGAAAGACAGACCTCGAAAATTCTTGTCCAGTATATCCTGTCGTTATTTCATTTACTAAACCGATGTATAATAAATAATCAGCTATTCCTTGCTCGATGTAATAAAGTGTCACAGAGCTTGTTTCTTCCTTTCCTCTGAAGATGTTTTTGTCCGAGGAAGCACACACGGGTTATGTATAATAATTTTCAATTTCTGTGAGATGGTTGTTTCAGCCTTACTTTGCAACTTTCTCCTATTCAGTTTAACTATAGCCTTTTTGTTTACTAGTGATTTCATGTCTTCAATTTCTTGTGACTTCTGTTTACTCATGGAACCTTGGAAAGAGACATTCTACATTTCCGACAGAAGTTCGTTAACACAAGTCGAGGAAACATTGTATAATGCTGAAACATTGCTAATATCACAAGTGTCTGAAGTAAATTATCGTAAAATTCTTTCCAGTGTAGTCTCAGCAGCAAGTTTGTTCTTGGAAAGAAGTTGACTTAGGGAATCTTCGAGAGGAGAAGATTGGAGAAATTGGGAAATACGTAAAATGAGCTGAACCATCAGCGTACGATTAATTAAATATTGATTATTTTAAAATTTTAAAATAAATTAATATAATTTTTAAAGCATTTTTCATATTTTTCTTTTTGGAAAAAAACACCGTTCACTCAATCCTCTTCTACCAAACACAACCTTAGGCCTTTGCTCTTGTTCTTGACAGCTGTTTGTTTCCTTCGTGGAATCTACGAAGTTCATTTCTCAACATACTATTTTCGCGTTAATTAAGTATAAACAATCTGTCTCAAGAATCCGAACAAATCTATTTTAAACTGGGCCTAAAATTGCTTTGCTGATCCATGAGCCCATGATAAAGCCCACTATTTGGCCCGTACGAATGAATGATTGAGCTCTCTCGACTTCTCGAATGGTCTCGACCATCTTCGCTAAACCCTTCCTTGGTCGCCGCCGCGCCGCAAAGCCTCCGTCCGTTCCGCACCGCCGCTCTCTTCCCCGCCACCGTCGGTCGCTGGCTGAGTATGGCGGCGGCCGCTGCTCGCGCCGGGTTCCGGCGGATGTTCTCCGTCTCGGGCTTCACGCCGCCGCCTCCCCCCGCCGCCCGCCCCTTGGCGGACCCCTGCAACAACCTCTTCGTCTCAGGTAGCCAGGCTCTTCGTCCCTCTCTCCTCTTGTGGCTGTAGTACTCTCTCGTTTACGCTCTTCTCCTGCGCCCTGGCTTAGTGGGTTACTGGATTGTGGATTTGTGGTGGTACGCCTGTAGAACTGATATAGTTCAGCTCGGTGCGACTTAGCATGAGTTGTTGAAAAGATCATTGATAATATTGGGATCAACACTAACATGGACATTATGCTCATCAAATGATTGAATTATAAACTTATCAGCTAGGATAGACAAAGGGAGGCTTTCGAGAATATTGATCTGAATATCAGCTTTGGATCTAGTATCTGAGAGACAGCAAAGTTCAGGAGTCCTATAGCTTGTATGTATCCAGCTAACAGAGTACTGTTGAGAGTGGTGACCCTCTAATTTGCAGGTTACAGTCCATAGCAACTGCCAAATTAAATAACTAAACTATTGTTTACTTCAGAATGAAAATTGATCAGTTGCTGTTTGTAACCAACTATAATGAATATAAGACTCGCTACTCAGGTTTCATAGAAATAACTGTCTAACTGATCTTTTAACTATCTCGATATCACAAGATATTAATAAATTGTTCAACGACTAGTTAATTGCTTCTGAGCGTGTTTTAGTACACAAGGTATCAGGAATAAGCAGGTGTTGATATTAGTACTTGATAAATAGTAAACACTTCCACTTAAAAAAACATGAAATCGATGTATTGGTGAAACAGTTTACCTAAGGTACTGCAGTACTGCACTGTTCTGGGTATTGCACCAAGAGTTTTAGAACGAAGCTCACAGTACAAAGTAAAGTAACACAAATCAAGTGTTTCCCTTTATGTTGCTACTCTACTTTGTGAGATGATAAAGTAAAGTAGCTAATGGTTTAATTGCTGATGTATTAGTATTGGTTGTCGTCCTTGAGTTCATTTTTGGGTGTTAATAATCCATCTAGTTTTTAGTAGCATAATCCATCTTTTCTTTTGAGAACTCAGTTAAATCTAAATCTGGTCAATAATTTGTTTGATGTTTGTTTTGAAATGTTCTCTGTAGAGTTCAGATAAGGTCGTCACAGAAATTACAGTCATATATTATCTGTATGGTTTTACATAGTTCTGAATTACTGAGATGCAAAGTCCAGTTTCTTGTTTCATTTGCATGAAGCTTTGTTTGAGCCAAATTTCGAACATAGCTGCATAACATGGCACTTATGCAGGGTTGAATAAACGCACGACATCTGACGGACTTAGGGAAGCCTTCTCGAAATTCGGTCAGGTTATTGAAGGTATTTGCTTCTAACATCTGTAGTTCCTCCCCGTTGTACTGCTGCTAATTCTTTTCAAGCAACTAAAACACATTGCTATATGTGCAGCTAGAGTAATCACTGATAGAATATCTGGATACTCTCGAGGATTTGGCTTTGTCAAATATGCAACTGTTGAAGAAGCCGGTGAGGGCATAAAAGGCATGGATGGAAAGGTGAGAAATTCTATTAACCACCTAGGATGTTCTCGGTAAAACCTGGTGTCAGGAACATCTATAGTAGAGAGTTATGCTCTCATGAAGTCAGGAACACCTGAGATTGTTGCTCATCATAGCTTGATCTGCTGCTGACACTAATGTATGTTGGTGTAGTTCCTCGATGGTTGGGTGATATTTGCCGAGTACGCCAAGCAGAGAGAAGCACAGCAGCCGGCCCAACCAGCAGCATCAACTAGTTACCAATACTCCAACCAATGATAGTTGTCTCTACGATCAGGATTACCTTCTATTGGACAATATTGTTCGCTATTTTACCATGTGAAAACTGAAAATCACTCTCCTTGATATTTCGTCAGGGAGAAATTTTAGTGTGCACGGCATGAACATCTCCTTAGTAACTTACGGTGCCGTTTTGTCTGCTACTGTCTGCTGGGTGACTGTACTCTGTGAGCTTATGTAACTATACAACTGCCTTCATTTTTGAGACTACAGTATTTTATGAGCTGCAACTTTAACGATCCAGAAGTTATCAAAACTATTAGGCACGTATTGCAATCGTTTTCCTCCAGGAAGCCTACTACTAACCAAGAAGACACTCGGTGGCCTCGTATTAAGCTTCGTAGCCTTCACAAGAAAAGCTAACGTGGTGTGCTCATCCGAAACCACAACTGTCACAAGGAAAAAGTCCATTTTGCGTCTCTTCACTGTAGCCTCAGTTTGATTTATATCCCTCAACTGCAAAAACCATGTATGGAGCTTCCCTCAGTTCTTAAAACTGGTTTAACTAGACTTCCTCCGTGATTTGAATCCTGGTTTCATATGGAGCTTCCCTCAATCCTCAAAACCGTTTAACTGGACTCCCTCCGTGGGTTGGATCCTAGTTTCATCCAATATGGTGTCTTGACTGGGTCAACCCGCTGCTAAGATGGCTAACACGATGTGTATGCGCATTACAGAGAAAAATAATAAAAAAATTATTAGAGCCACATGTTAGTGTCATAACCCCCCTCTCTCACAACTATTTCTTCCTCCTCTTCCACAGCAAGTTGGAAGGCGGCGGCTGCCCAAAGCCCTATGGAGCTAGAGGAGGATAGTGCGAGAAAGGCAACGCACCCTGAGGCCTAGCGTAGTGTGACGGGACCGGTGTTGTCATAAGGGAGGCCTTGTGGAGTGAGATAGGGACAAGATTACGGTGGCGCTCCGTCTAGCCGGCGTCGATGCTCTCGTTGACCCACGGATCGAGCCATCAACGGTGATTGGTGGTGGATGTGTCACCGAACTACCAACGCCGCAGAAGGCCTGGATGAAGTAGTCATCGATGGCTTCGCATAGCGGCCTTGAAGTCTAGCCGATGACGGTTTCCCACGGAGGCGGTGATGATCACCGCTAAGGAGGGGAAGGGATGGGAAGACAAAACTCCGGCACTGATAGGAGTCGGGAGGAGGAGCCGAGAGCGACATATCAACACCTAGTGCGAAGCGATGGATGCCGACGTGGGAAAGAGGCAGAGTTGCTGATGGGTCACTTGGCACCGTTGTGTCTTCGAGCCGTCACAATTGCTTGTTGTTGTGCCACTGGAGTATGAAGGGGCTACTGCTGCCGCATCTTAGAGGAGATATCATCGCCACCACTAGCTTGTCGTCGTGGCATTGGATTGGGAGGGGCCATCGCTGCACATCGTCCGTCAAGCTTCTCCTTGCCGCTCATTTGGCTTAGTCTCCATCAGATATGTTCCCCACACTCGGCATGTGTTCGCGTTGAGTAGGCCATCTCCGCTATTGCAGCCCCTGCCTTTCTAAGGATGCAAACATAGCCAAAATGGCACCGCTACAGTCTCCCCAAAGCTCCCACGTCCTTCCTCCGCCGCTTGTCTCGCTGATGCCAGGAGAGATGGAAAAGAGATGAGGGGACTAGGAGTCCCTAACATGTGGGTACACCTGTTGACTCGGCAAATCAACCGTGGTCAGCCTGTCACGTCAGTAGGAACTATATTCCCAAACCATTAAAGGAGTCGATTTATACCCTTTTGGAAAATGGAGGATGTGTTCTACCTATTTCTGTGGGTTGAGGGAGGTGATTCAATTAGGAGCAAGAAATGAGGGAGAGGTTAAATAGACTTATATTACCTGTCAGAATACCAAACCAACCAGGCCGAAGCCTAAAACATGCGGAGATCACTAGCCAGTAGCCACGGCCCAAATCACGCAGAACCGTGCGCGCCTACCGGAACCACGAAATTTTCAATCTCTCCCCACACCGCAAAACGCGAAATTTTCCACGGCCCCCGCGCGCGGGCTCCACTCCACCGAAAACCCAGCCAAACGCGCCAGATCCGCGCCTCCTCCACTCACACGCGGATCGCTCCCCGATCCAACGGCAGGCGCTGCCCCCCCGCACCACTCACGCGGATCGCTCCCCGATCCGACGGCTGCCCACTCCCCTCCCAACTCTATATATATCCACCCCTCCCAAACCAAAAATCCTCCACATCCAAATCTCGCCACCAAAAAAATCCCCAATTCCGCCGTCGTCTTCGTCGCCGTCGCCGCGAGGATGTCTGGGCGCGGGAAGGGAGGGAAGGGCCTGGGCAAGGGAGGCGCGAAGCGCCACCGGAAGGTGCTCCGCGACAACATCCAGGGGATCACGAAGCCGGCGATCCGGAGGCTGGCGAGGAGGGGCGGGGTGAAGCGCATCTCGGGGCTCATCTACGAGGAGACCCGCGGGGTGCTCAAGATCTTCCTCGAGAACGTCATCCGCGACGCCGTCACCTACACCGAGCACGCCCGCCGCAAGACCGTCACCGCCATGGACGTCGTCTACGCGCTCAAGCGCCAGGGCCGCACCCTCTACGGCTTCGGCGGCTAGGCTCCCCCCAAATATTTCTCTCTCTTCGTGTCGAGGCGTCGCGTGTTGGTTGCCCTGTGTAGATTGCTGATTTCAATGTAGTACTTAGATTCTGGCAGTGAAGAACTGCAAGTAAACTTGTTTGAAATTCACCTTGTTGCTATTAATCTAATGCAAGTTTTTGCAATTTTTTTTGGCGGTCATTTTGATGTGAATCAATTCCAAGTTTGTCGGTCATCTTAGGATGTACTACTAGAGAAAGAGAAGAGAAGAAAATTGGGAGATACATTGAACTAGTCATTTCTACGAAATTCGCCGAAAAAGAGTCCTTGCTGGACTTGTAAATTGTCGAGTACATCTCCATTTGGCTTCTCAAACTGGGAGTAGTTTTTTTGAATCTAACACAACATTTACACACAGATAAATCAGGATAAGTCCATCCTTTTACACAAGCAAATTGATGTCATGAGCGACCTCCATGGCGGCGACGACCGCATCAGCGACCTCCCCGAAGAGCTCCTCCACAGCATCCTTCTCCCGACCACCGCCGACGCGGCGCGCACGAGCCTCCTGTCCCGCCGATGGCGCCGCGTCTGGACGAGCCTCCCCGAGCTCTCCTCGTTGTCCGGCGCACGACGCGACCCCTCCCAACCGTGCGCCGCCGACGCCGTCGACGCCGCCTACGCCGCCCCGACGCTGCATAGCCTGGCAATCTCCGTCGAAACCCGTCGGCCTATCCACGCGCGCCGCCCGCGTCAACCCGTGGCTGCGGTTCGCGTCGCGGCGCCTCATCGGCGGGAGAGCTAGCTCAGCCTCCGAATCGCCAATGGGTGGAGCGACGAAAGGCATCATCTGAGAAGAGAAGGGGTTGGACGAGATCGAGCTGCCCGGTCTGCGAGAGGGCGACGGCCATCTCCATGGACATCCACCACTACATCCCGCGGATCCGGCCACCCGCCGGCGCCGGTGCACCGGTGTTCGCGGCGCTGCGTGCCCTGACCATCCGCTGCTCCACCTTCGACTCGCTCGAGATGGAACGACGCCTCGTCTCGTCGCTGTGCCCCCGCGGCTGCAGGATCTCACGGTCATCACCTACTTCCTCGAGGTCTCCGACGGTCCGACCTCACCGTGCGCTCCGGGTCGCTGGAGCGCGCGACTGGACGTTCGCGGCCGCGTCAACGGCCGGCTCACCGTCAAGGCGCCGCCAGAGGCTCGTCCGGCTGGCGGTGTCCCAGTGCTTCCACGTCCCCCCCCCCCCCGGGATGCCCAGAACACGGCGAGCGTCGCCGCCCCGAACCTCGGCGACGTGCCGTGGCGAGACATCTACGACCCTCGCCGCCACCTGTTCGTCCAGGCCCCGCGCCATGTCCGGAAGCTGAAGGTGTGGCCGGCGCTTCTTGAGTGAGAAGAATAGACACTGGCACGAGCTCGCCGCGGATCTGCTACGACGGTTCGACGTCGTCGACGAGCTGGAGCTGAACCTCGAAATTACGCTGGTGAGTTCACGCATAAGGCCCGGTTTTTTTTTTTCTCAACTCCAAACTTCAATTTTCTTGTTTTTCCTTAGCACGCTTTTTAACTATTAAATGATACTTTTTTTTTACAAAAAGTTTCGATGTAAAAGTTGTTTTAAAAATTCAAATAAAGCTATTTTTAAATTTATATTTATTAATATTTAATTAATTATATGCTAATGAGCTTTCTGATTTTATGTGTGCCGAAAATTTCTCTCCCAACTAAGAGATCAAACGGGGCCTAACGTTGAGTTTGAGAAGGGGAAAGAAAAGAGATCGAATGGGCCTAACGTTGAGTTTGAGCAGAAGGGGAAAAAGAAGATAGGGAACATACGCAAAACGAGGTGAGCTAGTGTATGATTAATTGCGTATTATTTCCTAAAAAAAATTAATTGAGTATTAATTATTTTAAATTTAAAAATAGATTAATATAATTTTTTAAAGCAACTTTCCCATAAAAAGTTTTTGAAAAAAAAACACCGTTTAGTAATTTGGGAAGCATGCGCGTGGAAAACGAGAGAAAGAATATCACCTGCCGCCGAGCGTAGCCTAAGGATGAGAGTGCATCCCTGCACGAATCAATTGATTACACGATTAATTGATTGGAAATATATGTCTTTACTCCCTCCATTTAATATTATAAGTCGTTTGTCAAACTTTTTAAACTTAACCAAATTTAGTACTAGTTTTTTCAACACAAAACAAACATATTATCAAAATATTTTAATGCTAGGTTTAACGAAACTAATTTGATATTTTAAATGTTGCTAATTTTTTAAAACTTGATCAAACTTAATAAAGTTAATTGTGAAAAAAAAATCAAACGACTTATAATATGAAATAGAGGGAGTATTTTTTTTACATCTCATCTTAAATAGTTATTAAAAATATTAATAATATAGATTAACATGAGATATATCACTTCACAAATATGCATCAAATTTAGCTTTGGTAAGTTGTAATAAAAAGAAATAAATATAACTATGAATTTATGTTTTAGTTTACTTTTTTCTCACATATTTGTGTAGTGATATATCTTATATTAATGGGGCTGCTATATACCGGAATCCCGTTAAAAAACGGGAACCGGTATCATGCGTTTCTACCACATATCAGGTGATACTTGCGAGGTATCAGATGATACCTATAAGTATCATGCGATTCTTACCACGTATCAAGTAATAATTGCGAGGTATCAGATGATACCTATCATGTATCCACGTAGAGGGTGATACCTGCGAGGTATCAGGTCCTGATACCTAGCCGGTATCGGGTGATACCTGCGAGGTATCAGGTCCTGATACCTAGCCGGTATCGGGTGATACCTACCAAGTATCATGCGATTCTACCACGTATCAGGTATCAGACGATTCCTATCACGTATCAGGTGATACTCACGAGGTATCATGTGATACCTATCAGGCATCGCCTCGATTTCTACGACGTATCGGGTGATACTTGCGAGGTATCAGGTGATACCTACTAGATATCAGGAGCTGGGCGTCGAGGCGTCGTCGGCGGCGGCCGCGTCCTCCTCCATCCACGCTCCACACCGAACCCGAACCTCGTTGCCGGCAGCCGCGTCCTCCCCCGTCCACGGTCCACATCGAAGCTCGTCGCCGACGACTGTGTCCTCCGTCGGGAGCTCGTCACTGGTGACCGTGCCCGTCGTCCACGCCTCAGCCGGCGGCCGCGTCCTTCACGCCGGAGCTCGTCGCCGGCGCCGCCGCCATCACCCCGCAGGATCCTCCGCCGTCCATGCCCCACGCCAGAGCTCGTCGCCGGCGCCGTCTCTATCACCACGTAGGATCCTCCGCCGTCCATGCGACCATGCCCCACGCCGTAGCTCGCCGGTGGCCGCGTTCTCCACGGCGGAGCTCGTCATCGGTGTCACTACCATCACCACGTCGGGATATCTTGCTACATCGAACGAGCAAGTTGTGGGAAAGAGGAGCATCCCATTGGGGGAACGGTATACCGTTCCCTAGCATTCCTGTATATTAATATATATTCTATCAATTTTTAAATTTTTTAATAACTATTAATATATATTAACTATTTTTAATCCATCTTGTAGTTCGATTAATTGTTCCATTGCGTTGGCTTTGTGTATTTTAACCGGTTTTTCTATTACCTATCTAAAACATTGTGCTTTTGGCAGGGCAAGATCCCGTACATGCTATTTCTGAAGGACACGACCAAACTTCCCGAGTGAAAGGTTCTAAAGATACACTTTCTCGATACACTTGGGGTGGTGCATCACTGCACTGCACCGATCGTGCTTCACCTCGTCAACAAATGCACTGGTATCAGAAAGCTGGATATTTGGATGGGCAGGGGACTACCGGGGTGTTTGGTTTATGACCACACTTTACAGGGTGTTTGGTTCATGACCACACTTTACGGGGTGTTTGGTTTATGACCACACTTTGCTCCACCATATTTTTAGCTGTCACAGTTGGGCAGAGTGTGGCCGCAACCAAACATGTAAGTTCACATATACGGTAAAGAGATTACTACGCTCTTTAGCATTGTCTACGCTCACATATACAATAAAGAGATTACTAGTAGTTTCATAGTTTCGCAGTTTGCAGCACATGAATTCCATCAGTTATATATACTACTCCAGTTCACAATTAAGAAGGAAAGAGTCTGTGTTAATCAGTCATGTTTTATATCTAATCCCAGATAGGAGAGGTTCGTCCAGGGAGGAATCTCAGCAGCCAGCCACGAAGACCACGACTGTCCATGCTCTCAGCCGGAGAACCAGCTGAGATCACGGATCGATGGCATCGTCCTGGATTCGCTTCAAGAGGTAGAGATGAGAAATTTCACAGGAGCAACCGATGATTTAGGCACGGTGAAGCTGCTGCTCAGGTGCAAGCCGATTCCCAAGAGGGTGTCCTTCCATCTCTCGCATCAAATCAGGAACAACGCTGATCTTCTAGTTAATGGATGCCGTTCCATGTACACTCCGTTCAACGACGACGCATGGGAGAAGATACGCGACAGGCCCGGTCCTGTCAATTTAGTGGCCCAGAGCGAAGCTAGAAAAATAGGCTCTTTAATACAACTATAATATATAACGATGTTTCTGATAAATATAATGCATAAAATACATTTAAGTTATATATATTACCTTAAATTTCTTCTAACATTCACTGTAAATTTAGAAATTAGTAAGTAATTTATGGAAATTATTTCATACTAAATTCAATTCAACATTATAATTAAAATGATTGCTGGTATTTGCCCTAGATGCACACTTGCACAGCTGCAACATAAGGATCCCTAAACCCCAAAATCAGAATTTTAGAGATTAGAAGAGGAGCAATTGGGGAGTAAAATTTAAATCCCAAAATTTAAACATATAAACTTAGCATATATCAAATGGGAGAGCAGTGGGTACCTCCCGGAACTGAACGGAGAGATTGCAACCAGTTGCCGGCTGCCGCCGAGCACGACGCTGCCGTGCCCTAAACCCTCGGAACAAGACGACGCGGTTGCCGAGCATGACGCCGTCGACGCGCCCTAATCCCTCGGAGCATGACGACGCGGCTGGAAGCGGAAGGGCGGCACCGTGGCAGCAGAACAGCGAACAGGCGAGGTGATGAGGCGAACAGAACAAGCGATCACGGAAGGAAGCCAAATCGACGGACGACAGATGTGTCTCTTCCTCTCCTGGGCTGGTGGGCTTTCTAATTCCTCTATGGGCTATTATGTACAACATATATGGGGTTGGGCCCCTTCACTTCGTGGGCCCTGTGCCACCGCACACAGCTCGACCCCCTAGGGCCGGGCCTATTACGCGAGGAGACTGCTGCTCTCTTTCACCATGATACAAAAGTCGAGTTCTACTTGGGTAGACGTAAGCTATATAAGTAAGTTAGCTAGCTCGCTATGTATGGAGATAATATGTAGTGAAAACCATATATATTTGGAAACCTGAAAACTGCTATTAGATCGAAAAATGTACATTTGAGATATGCCACGTCACCGATTAATTTTTTTTACGTATGAGTAATTCTACGAGTAATTTTACTCGTGATGACATGTGGACGAATCTCAGATATCCATTTTTCGATCTAATAATAGTTTACAGGTTTCTAATACATATATGATTTCCACCATATATTTTCCCATATATATGGTGTGCGGCCATGGATGCATTCAGCGCGATGGATTCACCAAGTGTTTATATATGCTCACCGAATACAGTTCTCGTTGTTTGTTTTAAAGCAACTTGCGGTTCTGCTCTTTATCTTCATAGAATCGTAGTACTATCCTAATACGATTTCCGATCTCAAAGGAACATTGCATATATTAGTAGATCACTAGATCCACCGTTGCGATCCCACCCATCACCCTTCTTTATCTTTAGGGCTCAGGCATCACTAATAGTGCCTCGTTGCTTGCCCGTCTTCCACCTCCCCTGTCGTTCGTCAAAAGCTGCCTTCATTATCTCCTATCTAGCACGTCCATAGTTTTCTATAACTTTCACCACGTCTTCAAATTTCTAACAATTTTCCACTGTTTTCCCTATTTCCATAAAGGAAAAAATAATTTTGACATGCATGCTCGGTTTTTCTAATTCCTAACAGTTTGTTGTGCAAATAATTCGGTTCTCAAAGCCAAACAATCCGACAATTCCCTATCAAAATTCTAGTGTTTCCGGTTGAAAGTTTAACCATTTTGATTGGTTTTGGGTGGATGCCTGACGAAACTTGAGAATTCAAATTAAAATTTTTGTTCTTAAATTGTTTTCGAAATTTGTCCTTTTTTGCCTGGTTTTCATGAAAACCACCATATCACCGGGGGACCGAGATTTCATCACAAATGTAAACCCTAATCATGGGAGAGAGGAAATAGAATTAGTGTTATCTGCAAATTTAGGAAGATGAGCCATAGACGATAGAAGAAGTGAGACTAGGTCTAGCCATGGCAATGGCAATGCTCCCTTATCTCACTGGAATTTATTTACAGTGGGCTGGTTCATAGACCCACCAATCCCTGCTTTGCAGGCCCAATGAGTGTGGAGCTCAACTTCTCCATTCACTATGACTGAGAGCACGGTCCACTGATAATTATTTTTGTGCGTTTTTTCAAAGAGTAAATTGCATCCACGATACATCAACTTAGCATGTGGGTGCATTTTGGTGCAATAACTTAAGAAATGAGCGTTCTAGTGCAACAACTTAGTAGTTAGGTGCAATTTAGTATAAGAACTTGAGTAAATTGCATTCACGGTGCATCAACTTAGCATGTGGGTGCAATTTGGTGCAATAACTTGAGAAATGAGCGTTCTAGTGCAACAACTTATTAGTTAGGTGTAATTTAGTATAAGAACTTTATAAGTGATCATATAAATGCAACAATTTGTAAGGTAGGTGCGATTTTGATACAATAAATTAATAAGCTACGCGACAACTTAATTATTTGGAGCATTTTTATATAAATTCAATTTTAAGTACTTATTTTGACAATATACTAACCCAGATTTGTATAAGTATATTTATATTTTCGTCCTAATAACTAATAACTGAAAGTCAATTAAAATGGATGTAGAAATTATTATATTTCGGTTGATATTTGAGAAGGTGACAAAAAAAATTCTTAAAGGTAATTGGATGTAAATTGTACTACTATGTGCAGTATAATTCTTAAGATTAAATTCAATATTATAAGGTAATACCCGTATGATTATTATGTAATAACATATTGACATCGTGATAAAAACTCATCTAGCATATGCTTAGCCAAGTTGACGTACAAAAATACTAAATTATTAAGTTCTTATACTAGAACTCACCTATTTATCAAGTTATTGCACTCAAACATTCAATTCTCAAGTTCTTGCACTATATCGCACCCACTTGCCAAATTGTTGTACCGTGTGTGTAATTTACTCTTTTCCAAATGTATCTATACATCTCACCGTCCAGATATAATTTTAGAAGATACATTGAAATAATTATATTTTAGAACGGAGGGATTAGTTCTTGGTGATAGTTCTCAAGTTCCATCACAGATGTCCCTTGTTGCTATTTCTAATTGTTAGGTTAATTAATGCTCGGTACATAATTGCAAGTGAAAATGCTTAGCACATTATCGCAGATGAAAATGTGTAGTACACATGTCGCAAGAAAAAAAAATGCTTAGTACATATTCAGAGAAAAGGCAGGTTTGTTTATTCCATTCGTAGGTCACATTGAAGAGAAAGAAACACTCAACTGCTTTTTATCCTTTACAAGTAGAGATCAGATTTCTATGGTCATAGATGCTGTATAGGATCTGCAATTGGGCATATTAGATTTGTGTTAGAGCAAATTTTACCAGGATTCTTCCAAACTTCTTTAGAGAGTAGTTTATTTCGGTTAGGGAGCTTGCTATTCATCAATCAACTAAAAAGGTAAAAAATTAATGAGCCAGGATTGCTCTACTATTCGCGCTGTCATTTATATACCTAACCCACTCCACCCCATTCCTCCCCTCTCCCCCCCTTCGCCTGCCCGCCGCCACCCCTCCCTCCCAACATATTGCGTCGTTTCCCTTTGCCTTGACGATTCTGCACCGGTGTGGCTACCCGGCCAAATCCTCTCCCCTCTCCCTTCCCCCTCTCCCTCCCCTTGCCTCCTCCCCTCCCCGAACGCCATCACGCAGCCGTCTCCAAGTTTAGTGTTGTTCCCCCACCCTGCCTCCAATCTTTTGTCTCCGGTGGCTCTGGTGGCCAGATCCGCTAACGCGACCCCACCTGTCGCCCTCCTACATCCTCATGGCTCCGGCGTCGCCACCAGTGTGCCCACCCACCACCCGTCTTCCACCTTCTTGGTCATTCCTCAGAAGCTATCTTTGCTATCTCTAATCCCGAAACCCTTATCTGAAGGAATCTGGCCGAAGTTCGGGTGTCGTCTGCGTGGAAGCTTGAAGAGGATGTCGCCGCCACGTTGCCGGTGAGCCCTCCCCCTCACACTCAGGTAGATGTGGACTATGATGGATGAGCCGTTCGATCTTCATCCAACACCATTTAGCATTGGGGTGAAATTTAGGGAAGTTTAAATTGAGTGCTGAATTGTGGAGGGGTTACCATAAGTGTATCAAAATCCCTGCCCCCCCTCCGGGAATCCCAATCCTTGAAGAGGTCGATTGTTGTTTTGGATATCGTGGCGGCATAAAATTTGATGATGGGTAAATAAGTAGGGCCGGCGCTGGGCAGGGCAGGCAGTGTTGCCGCCCTGAGCCCTAGGCATCAGGGGGCCCTACGGCCATGTACAGCTACGTGCATACACAGTTCACTTTGTGCTACTGCCTTAGTTAATCTCTTTTAAAACCAGATAAAACTTTGACGTTTCTATTATATTATGTTCTAAAAATTTCAATTAGGAGAGTAATTACTAATTAGTGTCTTAGTATATATGTAGCACCATCTTCCTGGTTGATTCATTCATCTCATGACACTGCACTAATTTTCTGCATATGGCTTGATTTTTAATTTTTTTAGCCATAATAGATGAAGTTTGGTTTTCATAAATTCCTATTTAAAACAATAGTTTATTGTTAATGATGCGTTAAAGCTAAACATTTCTTCCTATTCGAAGTAAAAACTTATTGCCCATAGATATTACACACGCGGGGTGGAATTTAAACAAGAATTTAGTGAGGCTATGAATATTCCGTTGATCTCGGTCACTTTGAGCGTACGTGAACTTATGGGATACGTGTGTAGTAATATGTGCCTATGTGTCTTCCACATAATAAAAAGAAAATTATTTTTTCCCTTGTACATCTATATAAACACACTAATATTGTAGGGCCTCTATATTTTTTCTCGCCCTGGGCCTCCAAAGTTTTAGGACCGGCCTGTAAATAAGCTATTACTTTCCGAAAAGAAATCTAACTCGCGATGTCTACCTGCAGCGCTCGTAATTCCGGCGACGGCGGTGAGGGCGTCGACCGCATCAGCCACCTCCCGGAGGAGCTCATCCAGAACATCCTCGTCCGCCTCCCGTCCGTCGACGCGGCGGCGCGCACCAGCGTCCTCTCCCGGCGATGGCGCCGAGTCTGGACCCGCCTCCCGTCCCTCTCCTTCCAGTGTGATTCCGAGAAGCCGGGCGCCATCGACGCCGCGCTCGCCGCCTACTCCGCGCCGGCGCTGAACCGCCTCGCCCTCTCCGCGGCCCACGCCCTCGAGGCCGCCACCGTCGCGCCGTGGCTGGAGTTCGCGTCGCGTCGCGTCGCCGGCAACCTCACGCTCAACTTCTCGGTGGCCGGCGGCCTCGAGCTGCCCGCCTGCGAGCGGGCGACGAGCATCAACCTCCACGTCGGGCACCTCCGCCTCCCGCCGGCCGGCTCATTCGCGGCGCTGGCCTCCCTGGCCATCGTCGGCGCCCGCATGCAGGGCGGCGACTTCGAGGCCGTGTGCTCGCCGCGGTGCCCTCGCCTCCGGCGGCTCGCCGTGCGCAGCGTCACGCTCGTCGGAGGCGCCGCCGACGTCTCTGTGCGCTCCGGCTCGCTGGAGTGGCTGGTCTTCATGGCGCAGGGCGTCGGCCGGCTGGAGGTCGCCGCCCCGAGGCTCCGGTACTTCCGGGCAGAAGCCAAGGCCGCCGCCGGCGACGTCTCGGATGTCAGCGTCGCCTCCCCGGTGCTCGAGGACGTCGCTTGGTACGGGGAGTTCGACCCGCGCCGCCACCGGTTCGCAGAGGCCGGCCACCGCCTGCGGAAGCTGATGGTCATGGACATGCCGACGGCGGCGCTGATGCGGCGCTTCTACATCGTCGACGAGCTCGTGCTTAGCTTCGGAATTTCACCGGTGAGTCCCTTGGTTACTTAGCTCTTTCTCTCTTTTTTTTTGCGAACATATAAAAGAATTGTACGTCAATATATTAGAAAAAATAAGAGTTTATTTACACAACGCAATCAGTCGGACTGACTTATGCCAAGGGAATAGAGAAAAAAAAACAAACAACAAAAGAAAGCAGGAAAAGGAAGAGACTACTACGACGGCTAAACGTAACTCTAATCAGCGGGAAGAGGGCAGAGCCACACTTAGCTCTTTCTCCACCTTTGCTATTATCAGGTGACTGAAATTGGAGAAAATTTCAATCTCCTAGAGCCTTGGCCATTATTGTATCAAGATGCAACTGGCAGGGAATAGCATTCCACCTTTAGTCAAAATTTTAGAACTTAATACGAACCACCTCTCAAATTCTTGGATTGGCTTTATGAAATTCATGCGTATCGGTTTGTCTCGGATGGTCTTTTTTTTATCATTGTTATAATAAATCATTAGGCCTTCATAGGTTTCTTTGATGATTTGTCATACTCAGTGAAAGCATACACTAAACCTTATGTAAATTGATGAATAAATTTTGTCGGTGATATATAAACTTGTTAGATGGGTGCAATTTAGTAAAAAACTAGTCTAGTACATGCAAACTAGTCCAAAAAAATATATTGTGACTAATTATGTTGAGTTAGTCTGATTATAAAATGTCATGCACACATATGAGGGCATGTGATACGTCGTATGTGTATTTAACATTTATATATGTTTAGTTTGTTCTTCTATTATTTTGTATCCATTGCATACTTCCTTCAAATACATTTTTAATATGTATAATTAACATGACTTATTATATGTTTGATTGAACATATGCTTATTATGATAACATCATCTTGACATGCAAGCCTACATCAGAATCAATTGTGAGATTAGTTAGTTATGTTTTGGCTTTGGTTTGCACACACTAGATAAGTTTATGCACCGAAATGAGTAATTTATAAGTTCATATACTAAATCGCACACACCTAGTAAGTTGGTATACCAACAGTGTAATTTACATGGTGCATTTTACTTGGTGCAAAGTGTAATTTCCTTGAGAATTAATGATCAAAGCTTCATTTTGGAAAACGTGTGTCCAAAACACTTTTTAATAACTAGGAGGATATGTATTATCTCTCACTTTTTAACGACCGTAGGGAAATCTCTCATTACTTATGTACTATATACAAAACATGCATATCTTAATCATATATGAATGTGCTGTTGGTAGGGGATCAGAGGGTACAAGACGTTTCTGAATGCTACGAGCATGATTGCAAAGTGTGAGGTTTTGGAGGTGCAGGTGACGACGAGACGGCACGCCTTTTCATCAGCAGTGTTGCATCTCCTCAGGAAATCAGGTGACGACGAGACGAAGCTTCTGATTCGTCTGCCTCGGATGGTAAGCTCAATTACCTCTTTTAACTAAGGAGAATATACAATCAAAATTTGTGTCAGGAACACACATATATGTCCTGGAAATTGAACTAAGACAAAGTTCCTTAATTATGCATGCAAGTTAGTATACCAATTGAAACAATGTAATAACCGTTTCTTGGTTGCAAGCTTGTGATTTTCGTTTGTACAAAGATTGTACCTTCATGTACATTACAAGTTTATCTCCTAGTGTAATTTCAGAGAGTTATGAACTGAAATTGTAAAATTAACATAAAATAGCTTCTCTCTCTGAAAATGTACTTCACACTATTTTTTCAGGGGAACAAAAGCTGCACGGAGGGCTGTCCTTGCTCTCTGACGGATAGCTGCAACACTGACAAGATTCAGTTAGATTCGCTGAAAGAGGTAGAAATATTGGAGTTCCAGGGAGAATTTAATCAGATGAAATTTATCAACCTGCTGCTCGATTGCCAAGCGCCAATCCTTAAGAAGGTATATGTCAGAATCCCAAAGGATGTGAAGTCCATCAGCAATACGAAGAGCAAGAAAATTCGCAGCATTATTGATGGTCATCCGGAGATTGATGTTGAATTCAAGTTATGGTCGTGAGGGAGCTTGGCCGATCATTGCATCCTCTGCCCTCGGAAGAAAGTGGTAAAAACACAAATTGTTTGATTATGTAGTGGCAACAGAAACGGTGGGACAGTAATTTAGGCCCCATTTTAGAATATATATATGGGATAACTTTGTTATTCCTGTGGGAAGTGAAACATCCCTTGCACCTCTACCTTTCTGAAATTACTGCAAAAATTATTGCTTCTCTGATGAGTGATGACTCCTAGCTATAGAAATTATGTAATACCGGCTGTAGCTTTATATCGCATCGTTCTTTTTTCATCGGGTTGATGGGATTCATTTACTTTTAGCGATGTATTCCCTCCATCCCAAAATATGAGAAATTTAGCTATTATTTCCTGAGTGGTTAACAAAAGTACTACAATTGAATAAGCGGTGGTTGGGGATTGCGAGTGGCTGAGGTAAGATCATGTGGTTGGTGCTCTGAAAGTTCTCATGCTTGGAGACAGATTTCAAATGTTAAGAATCTTTGAGACGAATTTTAAATGTTAAGATACCTTGTATATTTTGGGACGGGGAATCACCCTTTCCATGTGTGTTGAATGATAGTTTCTCTTTGAGTAAAAAAAAAAAAGAAACCTGCAAGCATGCAAAACTGAGTGTTAACAGGAAATCTTCTAGTGAACTCTAACTTAATCTCAAACATAGGAAAAAAAATCTACTTCCTCCGTTTCATATTATAAGACTTTCTAGCATTGTCCATATTCATATATATGTTAATGAATCTAGACATATATATGTGTTTAGATTCATTAATATCTATATTAATATAGGTAATGCTAGAAAGTCTTATAATATGAAACGGAGGAAGTACATGATGGCTTCCCATCTGAGGTGCGGGATGGTTAATGTGAGCGGCCTCTTATCTCCTGTTTTGCTCCCCCTCGCCTCCTCCTACCCTCCTCACTCGTTTTCTCACCAGTGAAGCCCCCCTCCCTTCTTTGTGCGTGTTTCTCCTTCGTGGTCGACCAGCTCAATACCCTTGACCATGCCGCTCCCTGTGATGGACAGCAATTTTTTTTTTAAAAAAACATCTCAACTGAAAAACTTATAATTTCTGCTAAAAATATAGGGACTTTTTTTTATTTGGGGTCACTTTTTTCATATATGATTGCTACATCTTTATGTATAGTGTATCAGAAAAATAACTGCACAAGCTTTGAATTTTTTTTAGATAATGGATTTAAATAAAACCCGGCCTCTACATCCAAGGGATATACACAACCAACAAGCTTTGAAATCTACATTATGATGAGTTTGAATTCCTTCGGACGTGTCAATTGGACAAATACGCCCATAGTGACTCGGATGGATATCTCGGCTCCGAAAACTTGCAGTTCTCCCCGTCAATCCTCCAGGACCCAAACAACTCACTTTTCGCCCATGAACCGTTTGTGTCAATGGATTGATTTGATCAAAAACTTGAGATAAGGGATATGTACCAAAGAAGGTATCGTAAGTAGTTATTAATAAAATCGAGGTTGAAATTTACAATGTAAGTTTTACTCCCTCCATCAACAAAAGTTACACATATTACTTTTGACACCAAGACCAAAGAGAAATTAAATCACCTTAGATGTTACAAAATCAAGTAGTGAATACAAGCATGCAACCAATAAGTATTTAGAGGACTCCTTGGGATCTAATAAAACATTTAATTTATCTCTTCATTTAAGTCTTGAATGTATAAAGACTACAAATAGAAACAACTTATTTGGAAAAACTCAAATGTGAAATAGGTGTAACTTTTGTGGACAGAGGAAGTATAATTTACCGTGACACCACAGTTTTACTCATCAATTGGTACACTACAAGAATCATGTTAATCCGTGATGGAAAATATCCGTCACGGATCACTAGAAAACCATCACCAAACAGCATATGTGATGGTTTAACAAATCATCACGGATTGAGCGTCATGGATAGGGGTGGAAACGAGCCGAGCCAAGCCTGGCTCGGCTCGGCTTGTAGTGGCTCGCAACAAACTAGGCTTGGCTTGGCTTGGCTCAGCTCAGATAGAGAAACAAGCTAAAACTTGAGCTTGGGTCGGCTCGTTTCCTGGCTCGAGCCAGCTCGAGCTGGCTTGCAAGTCTTCCTGTTAAAATACCTCTTCATATATATTTTATAATTATTAAAAGAAGCAAGAACAAATCATCAACATGTAAAATCTAAATAAGTTTATATATTCAATTCTTCAAAATTTTAATGATAAATTTCAAGTTGACAAATAATAACGCTATAAAAAGTGAAATAATCGATATAAACACATGATGGCCTAGGCTTGCGAGCCAAAACAAGTAGCTCGCGAGTCACCTCGGCTCAGCTCATTTCAGCAACAAGCTGAAAAGGAGGCTTGGGCTTGGCTCGTTTGGCTTACGAGCCGAGCCGAGCCAACCAAGCTCGAGCCAAGCCCGAACTGAGCTCACGAGCCCGAGCTTTTTTTCCACCCCTAGTCATGGATTGACCTGCATGATGGTTTGTCAAAAACCATCACAGAGTACCAGAATCGGTGATGGTTTTAAACCATCACGATATTGCCCGAGGCCTAGTTAGTCCAGCCCAAGCCCATTTCCTGTGACGAAAAATAACCGACACGGATGAATTGCCACATCATCATAGATGCTTACATGGTTGCTTACATGGATGATGACATGGACACTACCTCAGCCCATTTGTTAACAGGCCAGAATCAAAGATGGGCCAATTTTGGCCCAATTTCAGCCATTTTCGCAGCAATTTTCCAGCCATTTTTGCAAGCCCATTTCAGCATATTGCAGCCCAAATTCGCCACTAATTTTTAGCCCACTCTTCAGCCTACTACTGCAGCACATATAGCCCATATACACAGCCCATTGTCAAACATTCAGCCCACATACACAGCCCACAAGTAATTAATGTAGCAGCACATTAAATAAAAAAAATCATACTAACAGGTATAGTTGGCCAAATGGGCTGCCCAGCAAGGTACAACCCAGGCCTGGCCGTGCCTATGCCAAGGTTAGTCGGGCCGGCCCGGCCCGACCGACACGCCGAGCCGTGCCATGCCAGCCCACGGGTTGCATACACGGCCCAGGCACTGCCCAACACGACTAGGGTCATGCCGGACCAGCCCGAAGACACGACAACCCGTCGTTCTTCTCCATATAATAAGTCTATTTTTCATCCCTCAACTCTGTGGGCTGTGTTCATTTGACTGGAAAATAAGTCTATTTTGTATTACTCTTCTCTTTGGGTCTTGCCTTATATGGTTATTTAAGTCTATTTAGCGTCCCTATATATTTTTCTTCGATCCTGCCGTGCCGGGCCAGCCCACCGTGCCGAGAGTACAGCCCAAGCATAACCCGGCTATCGGGCCGTGCCGTACTTGAGCCGGGCCACGGTCCTCGGGCCATATGGCCATCTATACTAACAGGACGTAAAAGACTCCTTATATCGCAGACTCCGATCGAATTACTCCATATCTCTCTCTTTTCGAACTAGGGATGGTGCACCCCGACGACGGCCGCCGATCGGAGATCGTCATGGACGCCGCCGGCCGGAGTTGCGAGGTGGACGAGGACTACATCAGCGGCCTCCCCGACGACCTCCTGCACAACATCCTCCTCCGCCTCCGCTCCACCGCCGCCGCCGCCCGCACCAGCGTCCTGTCCCGACGCTGGCTCCGCGTCTGGGCCCATCTACCCGACCTCGAACACGGAAACTTCCGTGCGCCGGCGGCGGCGGTGGACTCGGTCCTCGACTCCATCGACGCCGCCATGGCCGCCAGCCAAGCCCTGGCCATCGACAGCCTCTGCATCACCGTGGAAAAGGAGAACCGAACCCGACAACTCCCCCTCGCCGCCATCCCCGCCCACCGCGTGATCGCGTGGCTACGCTTCGCCTCGCGGCGGCGCGTGCGCCGGCTCAACCTCTCGTTGCCAGCCGACGACGACATGGCGGCGCGCGCGCCCAGGAGGAGAGTGGGAGGGGAGGGGAGGAGAAGACGATGGAGGCGCTGCCGATCGATCTGCTCGCCATGGAGAGAGCTACAAGCATCGTGCTCGACCTCGGACACAGGTTCCGCCTCCGGCTGATGATGATCCCGCCGCCGGTGGCCGGCGGCAGCGGCGCGTTCACGAAGCTCACCGCCCTGACCATAATCACCGCCGCCGTGGAAAGCCGCGATCTGGAAGCCCTCGTGTCCTCGCATTGCCCTCGCCTCGAGAGACTCTCCATCATCGGCGTAAAGCTGCTCGGCGGCGGCGGCGCCGCCTCCAGCTTCTCCATACGCTCCGACTCGCTCACCTCGCTGTACATCCACCTCCGGGACTCCAGCCTGGAGGAGGTCGTGGCCCCGAGGTTGGAGAAGCTGCACGCGTCAGGCGACACCGGGTTCCACGTCGCTGCCCCCATGCTGGCCGAGGTCTCTTGGCAAGACGTCCATCGTGCCTACCTCAGCAATGGCGTCCGCCGCCGCCCGCTCAAGATCGCCGGCGCCGCGCGTAGTCTGCGGCGGCTATGCATCACGTCACCCTGTTCGGTCGGGTATCTGCTGCAGAGATTCGACGCCGTCGACTGGCTGGATCTGACACTCGCGGTTCCTCAGGTGAGTCTGGAATCTGCATGCGGCATGCCGTTCTGGATTTAGACATGTTAAACTTGCTCGATTCATAAATATTTCACCTTTACGCCATTTTTTGTTTTTACCATCTTAATAATTTTTTTTTTCACTAGTTGTATCTTTCTCAAATATCTCTTACTGCACCTTTTCATCATGTAATAGTCATAGGTGGTGTTTGAAACTCATGTAAATCAAGATAAAGATGAAAATTAAGTGTTTTACGCAAAAATAAGGTGGTATATTAACGTACGATTAATTATTACAAACTTAAAAAATAGATTTATCTGATATTTTAGAGTAATTAACAATTTAAAAAGTGTGCCACGAATATCAAAAGTGTCATCCAACTTTTGTTGGAGATTCGAACGCGCGCATAGTACAATATTTACTATTTTGCACCGTAGCTAGGTATATTATAGTATGCCCACCAATTGCGGTTTTTTATAAACTAAGTATTTTAAAAGTTATTGTAGTATAGTATGCCCACCAATTGCTGTTTTTTATAAACTAAGTATTTTAAAAGTTATTAATAGTGAAAGTTCTAAAATTTTAACCAAGTTACGTCAAATACTTGAGACCAACCGGAACGGGTATAAGTAAGGCATAATTTCCAAGTTGTCTATATATGTCGTATATACAATTCTTGAACCAGTATATGTTTGTGGCAGGGAGTGGAGGCATACAGGACATTCATGGATGATATGGACAACCTTCCCAAGTGTGAGACATTGGTGGTAGCTCTAATAGCGCAGTTCCATGGCTTTGTGCCAAGCATGCTACATCTCCTGAGAAGATGCAGCCATGTAAAGAAACTTGTGGTAATGATTATTGAACACAGAGACCCACCTCCATTATCACCATCCAGTTTCTGCTCGACAGCATGCCCCTGTCGCTCGCCAGATATCTACAAGACCGACGGCATTGCTCTCGACTGCCTTGAAGAAGTAGAGATCCGTCCCATAGGATCAGCTCCTGTGGGAGTAGTTGCAGAATTTGTGGATCAGATATTCAGACTGGATGCAGCCATGCTCAAGAAGGTGGTCTATCAGCAGTCACCATTTAGACCAGACCAGGAGGGCTACGAGAAGGTCCGCAGCATGTATCTTTCAAATCCCAGAATCGAGTTCAGGCAATTGGCCTCTACTACACAAAGCAAGGATGTGACAGTCTTGTGTTCAGTAAATCAGTCGTAGCTTTGCAATCAATTTCTTTCAGAGATATATTTTTTTTCTCGTGTAGCCGACCTACGATAATTTTGGTATAGATATATATTGTGAGAGAGATTATGTTGTGAATTTGGGGGAGCAATTCTTTTTTGTGTTCACGGAAAAAAATGCATCATTTGATATGCTGGTGATAATACAATGTGATTAATTTACATCTACTCCACATTCCACAAGTTTTGACGATTGGTGTCACCGGCCTTTTGTTGGAAATTAAATCATTATTCAATACTCCCTCCGTCCCACGGACTCTGGCTACACTTCACCTCGCAGCGGGAGAAACAGCCAGGGATCTTCCGGCTAACTTCATAAGATGGTGAATTAGACGATCTGGGTTTGAAGTCTCATCTGTTCTACTTATTTGATATTAGGTTATTCTCTAATATTCACATCTTCGCCTTGCAGCGGCACGTGCGTCGGCTAAACCTCTCGTTGCCAGCCGACGACACGGCGCGCGCGCCCAGAAGAAGAGTGGGAAGAGAAGATGGAGGCGCTGCCGATCGATCTGCTCACCTTGGCGAGAGCTACAAGCATAGTGCTCAACCTCGGACATTTTTGAACATTATTAATTTGCTTTCTTAGTTTCTTGTAACATATTTTGGTGTGCAATTAATTCTTTTGCGTGTTCCGGAAAAAATGCATCATATATACAGTAGCCTGAACTTTGCTGATGCTGTAATGTAATGTGATTTAATTTACATTTTTACTCCACAAAGTTCGGTACAGTGCACTGGTCACCGGCCTTCGACGATGGTGACGGTGACGTCGTTGACGGTGCAGGTGGACGACCACTCGCCGTCGGTCGAGCCGCCGCCGCCGCCGCGGTCGCTGCAGAAGCCCGGGTGCCTCGGCTGCGGCACCACCGCGCTGAGGTTGCCCAGCATCATGAACACCGCCGCCATGTGCGGCCGGTCCTCCGGCCGCTCCTGCACGCACAGGAGCCCCACCTGCACGCACCGCAGCACCTCCGACCTGCTGTACCCCCCGCCGCCGCCGCCGCCGGCCACCGCCTCGTCGAGCAGCGCCAGCGCGTTGCCCTCCCTCCACAGCCTCCACGCCTGCATCCGCGCACGCACGCACGTTTCGATCAGTTCTCGAGCAAATTTTCAGCGAACTTTTTCGAATTCTTGATCGCTGCTTACGTGGCTGAGCAGGCTCGTCTGCTCGCCGCTGCTGTACATCCCGCGGTTCTTCCGGCCGCTGACGAGCTCCAGCACCAGCACGCCGAAGCTGAACACGTCGGACTTCACCGAGAACACGCCGTCCATCGCGTACTCCGGCGACATGTACCCACTGCCGATTCGCCGTTGTTACCATCACAGCTCAGAATTTAGCAGCTATGTAGTAGAGTATATCTGAAGATCATCAGAGTCAGTGTCGTGCTCACTATGTCCCGACGACTTTTCTGGTGTGCGAGTCGGTGTCGTCGCCGAAGATCCTCGCGACGCCGAAGTCGGAGATCTTGGGGTTCATGTCTCCGTCGAGCAGGATGTTGCCGGCCTTGAGATCCCTGTGGATGATCTTGAACCGGGAGTCCTGGTGCAGATACAGGAGGCCCCGTGCGATGCCGAGTATGATGTTAAATCGCTTCGACCAGTTCAGCTGAGCTGATCGAGCCTTGTCTGCACAAAATCACACCCATCAAATTTCATCTGCAATGAATCAATATGGCGCCAAAAATGTTCAGGCAATTATCTGGGTGTTCAGTACCGAAGATGAAGTTGTCGAGGCTCTTGTTCTCCATGTACTCGTACACCAGCATCCTCTCCTCGCCATGGATGCAGCAGCCGAGAAGCCTGACAAGGTTCACATGCTGGAGCCTCGCGATGAGCATGACCTCGTTCTTGAACTCGTCCAGCCCCTGCGTCGAGAATTTGGACAGCCTCTTCACTGCCACTGTCTGCCCTCCATCCAATTCTCCCTGATGAATTTCGCATCATGCAAATTGTTCACAAATTTTCAATCAAAATCACCAATGTGTGTGATATCAGAAATGTATCTGCCTTGATTTTTTATGTTTTTTTTTACCTTGTAGACAGGACCAAAACCACCTTCACCGAGCTTAGCCAAGTTCGCGAAATTGTCAGTGGAGAAGGCTATCGTGTTGAAGTCAAAGAGAGTGACATTCAATTCGTTGCTGTGCCTGGTTTCATCCTCCATTTTCCTGTCTTGGACTTGATTCAGAGGGATACTTGAGTCAAATGAGGTGAACCTTTGAGGACTCTGAAATCTCACTGGATTTGCAACTGTAGTTAGTATTCAGGTTAGCACATGGATTAACTGAAAAATGCTCATTTTTCTCCTGTCAGACAGACAGAAGAAGGAAGACTTGGGAGTTGGAAGAACCTTTGTTTCTGAATAACTTGTCCCAGACGAAGAATGCAGCCAACGCCAGAAGAACAACACCAGATAGGCTTAGGACAACAGCGAGCACTGTGTTTTTCCTGCTGGAATCATCCCCATTGGTTGCTGTCAGAGTCATCTTGGAGGTGTCAGCAAGTCAAATTAGATGTACTAGAAGATATTTTAAAAAATTAGTTGTGCTTGACTGATAGGTGAAGTTTGTACTACAGAAACAGCTAGTAGAAGATTGACTGAAGATTTTGCTTTGAAACCAAGTAACCCCTTGATTTAGTAGTTCCCTTTTCTTTAATGATTATCGACGATTTTTTAGTACTGACAATGTTTTTTTCAAATTTCAGGTACACCACTGAAAGGTTCGTGCTGCCAAACGTGATTTCCAACACCAAAAATAATGGAAGTGATAATCCATGTAAAATTAAAAACAAGATCCAAAATAAATATGACAACTAGCAATCTTAGGTGCTTGTCCACGAAAGCAACAAGTGCAAACCAAAAGTCTGCATGTCTTCGATTTAGGTACAGGACAGTCGCTTCAGGCCAAATTAAAGAACCATTTCTGATCAGCGCATTGTGACCACACAGGACATCAGATAGAACAATAAGACTGATTTTCTCTATAGAAAGACTTCAATTCATTCTTGAGACGAATCCAAGCAATTCATTCAGTCTCTACTAGGACAAAACGGTTGAATTATACTAAGACTGCAGATTCTTTACAATATTGTTCTACATCAAATTAACATATATATACGCAAATTAAATCATGTAGGTATGACAGAACATATCTGATGTTTTCTTGAAACATTCTTTTTTAAGCGAATAATATCTGCTATACCTTAACTTTACTTATTATGGCCTATTTGGTTGCCACCATTTATCAACAAAAGCTACCAAACATGCTTAATATAAGGTAGGTGCTTAAAATCCTTGTCACACCATAGCAAGTCTAAAAATATCATTGCCAACACTTTTATGAGTAAACAAACACATGTGAGATAGTTTGTTAAAAGAAAATCTTATCATAATTGTGGTTGTAACCAAACAGATGACTAAGACCCTATTCTATTTGACACATCTATAGATCCTAGATCATGTTGGATTTTTAGGTTGTACAAGGGTTTAAATTTTTATATTTCTCTAATATAAGCAAAATAGTTTATTCAAATGTCATCAGTATAATCATAATTATGGATCCATGGATTTTGAGAACTAGTAATACCTAGCTTTAAGAAAATCGTATATATGAAGATGTTACATACGATCTAAGTTGACCAAATTTGTCTAATAGTTCTATGACCACTAATGTACCTATCACTTTTTATATTAAAAAACATACTACATCCTCAAAAGTTATGTTGTAAGTGTAGTGAAATAATTACATAATACTACCACTTTTTTCAATGACACCATTGACTTTCAAACACATGTTTTACTATCTATCTTATTTAAAAATTTATATAATTATTATTTATTTTTAAGTTCTTTTTTTAAAAAATACTTTAACCATAATTTTTATTTTCTACATTCGTACAATTTTTTTAATAAGTCAAATGGTTAAAATGTGTTTAAAATTAATGACCTCGTCTATTAAAAACGAAGGAAAGTATATGGCATACGAACTAGAGAGGAGAGGAGAATCATACGCAAATCGGATGCGGCGAGACGCATGAACAGGTCCTCGCCGCCATAGGAGAACTTCCTGATGTCCACGAGCGGCGAGCTCCACATGATGCAGCCGCTCCCGCCTCCCCTGACGTCGGACGCGGCGTACGCCACGCAGGAGCAGTTGGCCAGGCACCTCGCCCTGCACTGGTCGACGGCGATGGCCGCGTCCACCGTCGCGTTGGTGGTGTCGGGAAGCTTCACGCCGCGCAGCGGCAGGAACCCGTCGCCCGTGCAGTTGAGCCGCGTCCGCCGCGCGCACCCGGCGGAGCTGTCCCTGAGCTCCCAGTTCCTGGGCGACGCCGGCGCGAACCCGGCCGGGCAGCCGCACATCGACGCGGCGCCGACGTCGCAGACGCCGTAGGCGCCGCAGTGCGCGTACTGGTCGCACTGGTCCCGCGGCAGCGACCAGTAGAGGCTCCACCCGCCGGCCTGCGGCAGCCACACGTACCGCTGCGCGCTCGACTGGTTCAGCACGAACCTCGAGAGGACTCCGCCGCCGCCGCCGCCGTCGACGACGAAGGTGTAGTAGACGTCGGTGCGGTTGGCGACGAACTCGAAGCGGAAGCTGGTGTTGTTGGGCTCCATCTCCGGCTCGCCGCTGAACTGCAGCCCGTCCCACGGCCCGTTCCGGTACACCGGCGACGTGCCGTTGTACCAGATGAACCCCTCCGGCGCGCCGCGCGGGTCGATCTTGAACGTGTAGTCGCCCGGCGACGGGTCGCCGGCGCTCCTCCACGTCGTCAGGTAGCGGTCGAGCCCGGTGGTGAGGTCCCACCCAAACTTCATGCCGGGGAGCAGAGTGTCCGACGGGTAATCGAAGCTCTGCCAGATCACATCCCCGGAGCCACCGCCGCCGGCGAGCACGAAGTTGCCACTATCCAACAGCCTCGCCGCCACAGGATCACTCGCGGTTACGTTCGACGGCGCCGACGACCACACCACTCGCCCCGACCCATCGCCGAGCACCAGACGACCACCGCCGCCGCCGCCGCCGCCGTTGACGACGACAGCCAAGCTCCCGGCCGTGCCGCTCACCGGAGCATCCCGGTTGGCCACCCACACCACGGTCGGCGGATCGATGTCCCTGTACCATATTCCCAAGAACCTCGCCGCCGTCGTCGAGCCCGGCGGGGTGAAGAACCCGAGCTCGAAGACCCCACCGGCCGAGACAAGCTTCTGGCCATCGGCGAGAGATGAGTTGGCAAGAATGTTGTCACTCGCGGAGGCGGCAAGGGAGAAGAAGAAGAAAAGGAAGAGGGGAGCTAATGGCCGCATGGCGCTCGCCGCAGCCATGGCCATCGTGACCATGTGGCGCCCGAAAGCACCACGCACTCACACGGCTCCTACTAAGATGGGCGAGAAAAATTTTAAAACCGCACCTTGTTTTAGCTGGAATACTTGTGCAAATTGAACACTCGCCTACTCATTCAATGGAATGTTGCATTCGCCATTTTCGCTTTGTCGCGCGCGCATCCAGGAACTGTGGCTACTGAGCACGATGGTTCCAAAAACAGGTGGACCGGCAGATAACCGACCAGGAGCCAGCGACCGGCTAGGAGGCGGCTATTGGCTGGATGTACTACCTCCATTTCTTCAATTTTTAGACACCAGTATATGGCACATGCAATGGGATTTTAATTAAAAAAAGGGATTTGCTAAAAAACTTTCGCAAGTTTTTTTTCTGCCCCAAAACTTTCAGATTTGTGACTATCAAATGGTCTCAAGATTTGTACATGAAGAAAAAAAATTGCTACAAAGAAATGTCATACGTAAGATTCCAGTGCTATCTAATCAAAGCATTGTTGAATACATGTTTTAATAAGTTATATTGTAGTTACGGTGTAGTTACAGTGTAACATCTGAAAATTTTTGACTCAAAAAGTTTGCGACAGTTTTTTAGATATTCCTGATAACGCGCCAGTATCCTATAGTACTATAACAAACCGGTATTATGAACCATCCTCCTACCAAGTCGTACTTGACTGTAATACCATCATACTGGTGTTGATTGACAAAATATTTTAACATCAAGTTTTCACAAAGATAAATATTTTACGGTGACTTTCCACGATGGATCGACTTGCGGTCTTGCATTGCTGCCTTTTTGGAAAGGAGATGGTGATTTACTGATTTTGATATCCTATGTTTAGATAGTACATGCAAATATTATCTAACAAAAAAGGAGTCGTTCTTATGGGGTAAGATTTGGCCCATGATGGCGACTTCCATGGCATTTTTCTCATGGAGAGGCAGCGTCTCCTTTGTTGACGCAACGGCGACTTATGATAAAAAAAAATGTGTATTTTTCTAGTGTTGGAAGAGTCATTACGGCATCAGATGGAAGATCTTTGAGATGGTGGTAAACTAAACCTAAACCGGTATGACTTCTGACTTGGCACATGAACCTACCCCGGTAGCTCAGACTTCAGACTCTAGTAATCCAATGTGCTATATCTAGAACATGTTTATCTGCCTAATTTCTTACCAGTCATCAAAGTAGATAATAAAATTCCCCAGAATAGTTTTGATTATTTCGAAGGGTAGAGATATCTTTTGTCATGAATCCACAAAAAATAGAAAGTTCACCCTATATGCTTGTGGTGTACGACTTCATCTACAATTATACTCCCTCCGTCCCCTAATATATATATATATATATATATATATATATATATATATATATATATATATATATATATATATATATATATATATATATATATAAAAAAGAGATTTTGATATTTTGTTTGCACTGTTTGACCATTCGTCTTATTCAAAAAAAATTAGAATTATTATTTATTTTATTTATGACTTACTTTATTATCCAAAATACTTTAAGCACAACTTTTCATTTTTTATGTTTGCACAAATCTGTTGAATAAGACAAGTAGTCAAACAGTGCAAGCAAAATATCAAAATCCCTTATATTAGGGGACGGAGGGAGTATATCAAGAAACATGCAACATTGCAACACACGAAATCAACCGATCGAATTGGACTAGAAAATTTTTCTTTTTGAAAAAAAAAAACTGTCGCACCACACAGTGCAAGGCTTCATATATTGATATAGCATAAAAAAACAATATTATAGTCCATGAAAGTTACGATCAGGAAAAAAATCCATACGCAGAAAAGCTCATGCATACACTCACAAGGAAAGAACTAACACCAAGCCGGCTACCACTATGTGTGACCGGTTACTATCAACTCATCAATAGGGGCACAAATGCACCACCCTAGAAGGTCAGCCATAGACTACTAGTTAAACCCACAGAGAATGGTTGTTGAGGGAGAGGGTGAGAGAGATAAGATCAGATCTACTTGGCCTCGTGCAAACACTATGGTGACAACCAATAATGCCACGCAGATCATACTGATTTGAGGCGGGAAAGTTACAAATGGGATCTCCTAGATGACACGTCTAAGGAGATTGTGCCGCACCGTGCATCCAAGAAATCATGGACAAAGATCTCGCTCGGAGGATCCCGCCAAAGACGAAGGAGGCATCTCGGGAATGCCCCCAAGAGGGATCACGGTGCCAAAAGGCATTGTCGTTGCTAGCTAGGAAGAACCGCAAGGCTAGGCTTTTGAACTTCGCTATACACCACCATACCAGTGCACCTCCGCCAACTACCCCTGGTTACCTCAAGACGGTCCTCACTAGGGCCTTCCACTCCTACCACCATCGTACCAGCGCCACTCCCGCCACCATTGTATCAACGCCCCTCTAGACACTGCGCCTCACTATCACCCACAATCTAGGAGATGCCAGATCTAGACTTAGCTACTTCACTGTCGTAGGCCCCCAAACGAGGGCACCGCAACCGCCACCGAATTCATGAGCACCCGAATCACAACGTTGAGGGCGAGAGATGATGAAAAAGAAGAATCACAGCCATCGCCCTTCCTCGCAACTGTGCGGACCTCTAGCGGTGGTGAGATGCATGGGACGAGGTGGGAGGCATTGTAATGTGGGTGGCGAGTCCCACCCATGTTGTGTGAGATGGGTGACGCAGGGATGGGTTTGTATTTAAGGATTGAATTTTACTCTGTGCTAGAAAAAAAGTTATTTTAAGTTTAGGGATTAGTTTGAATGAAAATAAGCTGATTATAACCTAGTCTTCCGGAGGTGCTCATAGGGATAGAGTATGTGTATTTATAGGGATGAGTGTGCACACGTTATGAGCACTTGCATTTGTACTGTGTTTCTTAAAAAAAGAAAATAAGCTGATTATATATTTTTTAAAGGGACCAGGCCAGAATATGTTTAGTACGCAATTTTAGAGGAGGAGCTAAATTAACAAAAAGCAGGTCTATTGGGATTTATTTTTTCGATATGAAATAAAACATCCGGATGGGTACAAAGGCCGCAACCCGCAGTAGGCTAACATGAAAATATTGGCCCGATTCCCAGCCCACGAGAGCGTGACGTGACGCCGCCGAGAGCGTCACCTTATCACCTCAGCCCAATCAAGCAGCCCACAGGATGGGTGAAAAGTATAAACTGGTAGAACAGTAGAAGCGACTCGCTGTAGACTGACTCGGCCTCCGAGTGGCAGAAAATTCAAACGAAATGACTGTTCTCTCTGATGATTCAACGTCAGCAAGGCTCAACGCGCAAGATGTCATTGGCGCCATCCACAAATTTTGATCGATCCACTACTAGGATGAAAAGCTTTGTGACTTGTGACAGGTCAGGCTTTGCCATCACTTCATATTCTTGCAGACTCTTGGCACGATCCATCACACGCGTTAAAATTCGCAAGTGGAAGACCCCCGATCGAGTCACCGCCGCTTTGAATGATTACTAGTCGTCGCAGCATCCGAATCTGAATGCCACGGCCTACTCCAATTCTGAATGTTCCAATTGCTGTCCGTGCAAATGCAAACTCCCTATAAAATGCCATGCACGCAAAGATGCCCGAAGCACCAAAGAGCCATAAAGCCACGTGTCTCTTCTACCTTAGCACACGTACATTTTGCCTTTCATCACAAGTGCACACGTACGCATGGCCACCACCCTCGCCTTCACCGTGAAGAGGTCGGCGCCGGAGCTCGTCGCGCCGTCGAGGGCGACGCCGCGGGAGCTCCGGCCGCTGTCCGACATCGACGACCAGGACGGCCTCCGGTTCTACCGGTCGGGCCTCCACTTCTTCCGGGGCCGCGGCGGCGGCGGCGCCGACCCCGCCGCGGTGGTCAGGAGAGGGCTCGCCGACGCGCTCGTGCACTACTACCCCGTCGCCGGAAGGATCAGTGAGGTGGAGGCGCCGGCGCGGAAGCTGGTGGTGGATTGCACCGGCGACGGCGTGGTGTTCGTCGAGGCGGACGCCGACGTCTCCCTCTCCGACTTCGGCGACGTGCTCTGCCCGCCGTTCCCGTGCTACCAGGAGCTCCTGTGCGAGCCCGACGGCAACTGCGCCGCCGTCGTCGGCCGCCCGCTCCTCTTCATTCAGGTGATCACTGATCATCTTGCACGTCAGCGCACGTGCACCATTTTTTTTTTTGTCTTTCATAAGCATTCACGTTACAACTTACGATGTGTAGGGCATGTTCACTCATTAATTGCATGTCATCTAAATATTTATCAAAAAATTTAAAAACCTTAATAACATATTAATAACATAGATTAATATAAAATATATCACTCTACAAACATATATAACTAAATTCAACTTCTTCAAGTCGTAAAAAAACAAATTTAACTAAAAATATCGTGCATTCGCAGTTATATGGCCCTGTTCGACTGCCCTTATTTATACTATGTTGCAGCCTATATGCATAGTATTTTATATGTGCGGTTGCAAAGAGCAGCCAAACATACCTATTTTTTGCTACAACTTTTTAAAGTTGAATTTAAACTTACATATTTGTGGAGTACTATATGTTATATATTAATCTATTTTATTATTTTTTTTAAAAAAATATGACTATTTAGGAGGATAGATGAAAACACTTTCCCCGACGTGTAAGCTAATATTGTGAACGTTGAAATGATAGGTGACGCGACTCAGGTGCGGTGGCTTCGTGTTCGGCCTGCAGATATGCCACAACATCGCCGACGCGGCTGGCACGGTGCAACTCCTGCGAGCGATCGGCGAGATGTCGCGGGGCATGCCCGCGCCGACCGTGCCGCCGGTGTGGGCGAGGGAGCTGCTCATGGCGCGGTCGCCACCGGTGGTCACGCACCGGCACCCGGAGTACGACGAGACGGCGGCCGGCGGCAACCACGACGTGCTTGCCCACCATGAGCCGCTCGTGCAGCGCGCGTTCTTCTTCGGGCCGAAGGAGATGTCCGCATTGCGAGAGCTCGCCGCCCCAGCCGGCGCCGCCGCCGGCAAGAGGATCTCCCGCTTCGACATGCTCGCCGCTTTCCTCTGGCAGCGCCGGGCGGCGGCGCTGGAGTACGACGACGACGACGAGGTGCGCGTCATGTTCGTGGTGAACGCGCGCGGGCGCAGCCCACCGCTGCCCGCGGGGTTCTACGGCAACGCGTTCGCCTTCGCGGTGGCGGCGTGCACGGCGGGGCGCCTCCGTGACAGCCCGCTCGCCGACGTGGTGGGCATGGTCGCCGGCGCGAAGGCCAGGGCGACGTCGGAGGGGAACCTGCAGTCGGTGGCCGACCTGATGGCGCAGCGCGGGCGGCCGCGGTTCGGGCGCGCGGCGAGGGCGTACCTCGTGTCCGACGTGACGCGGGCCGGGTTCGAGGGCGTCGACTTCGGGTGGGGGGAGGGGGCGTACGGCGGGCCGGCGGCGGCGACGCTGGCGACGTTTCACTTGACGGTGAAGGATGCGAGCGGGGAGGAGGTGATCGCCGTGCCGATGTGCTTGCCGGCGCCGGCCATGGAAAGGCTCGAGTTGGACGTGCAGATGTCGTTGAATCATTGAACGATATATACATTCCTACATGTTCTATGTTGATTGTTAGATTCGGTACATCCGTACATGCTATACGTTCATATTGTTCATGTCACCATGTGCATGTTTTGTTATGTCCTACGTAACTCCTGCATATAATATAGGAGTTACAACATGTAATAGTTAAATTTTAAGTTGCATGTTTGTGGACTAATATATCACATGTTAATACATCTTTTTACATATTTTTTATAAATACTTAAGTGATATCTATCTATCTATTATCTATCTTCTATCTATTATATACTAAAAGTCCATTAAACTTCCTAGAAACGCTCTCAAGCCGCCACGTGACGCTCCTACAAATGCTCCGTGGCACAATATAATTTCACCATCGATTTTCACTTAAATTGGTGGACCCATTATTTTATACAATTAGATTAGATCTTTACATGCCGTTGATTTTCACTTAAATTGGTGGACCCATTATTTTATACCAATGAATTAGATCTACCTTTGTCCCGTACGTATGTATGGTTTGCCGGAAGGATTAGTAACTATGGTTGTTAGAAGTTGAGATTAATTAGCTGTCATATTGTGTTACTACTAATCATAGCTATATTTATTATATGCACGGCAATATATATATGGAAGCTATGAGATTAACAAGAAGATTATACATAGCTAATTAAATTAGTTATTATACATGATTTGTGGAAGGAAGTTAACGGTAATATAACATATACAGCTAATTAAATCACTTTAGATGGCTTTACCGTGATATTACGTAGCTAATTCGAACCAAGCAATCTCCAGTTAAATCGTCCAGCTTAAATCGGTGTATCTAAGATACTTTTTAAGTCATTATGATGACTTTAAAATTAAAAAAAGATTTTCTAAAAAAAATACATGATAATTGGTTTTTGACCTAAATGATTTAGAAAAAAATAGAAAAAAATAGAAAAACAAAGTCCCCTCCACCTCACCCTCACCATTAGATACGCACAACACTTTCTGCCCCCTCCACTTCTCTCTATAGTTTTTAGTAGTTATGATAAGGAGAAACAACCACAGTTATTTTAAGCTACACATATAATATCTAATCTAACTTTTGCTCTATCATAATTAAACCAACAATTTAAGATTCAAAATAAATTAAAATCGATAATACATATTACCGTCAGAACAAAATCAATTGTCTTTAAAATATAACTTTTTACCATATAAAAAATATATTACTCCACAAATATGTGCAAATATAAACTAGATCTATAATATAAATAAAAAATATCAAATCAATTATCTCTAAACGTTCATCTTTTAAATTATTTTAAATTGTATAATCAATTTATGATCCCGTTGTATTTATTTAATTAAATAAAATATTTGTGTCTTATAAAATTTATATTGCAGTTCTAAATACATCACCACATCTTGGACAAATATATAATAATTAATGTTATGATAATTTTAAATAATTTCATATCATATTTTATGATGTCAAATATCACTTGATAAATGTACTACGTAATTGCGAAAAAAATAAAACAATTTAGTTGTGTTTTTTCAAGTAGATCTGATTTAATTTTAATTTGTTTGGATTAAGCCAAGTGACACTCTAAAATCTATCCATTGATTTTCTTTTAAATTGGTGGGTCCAATATTTTTAACTATTAGATCAAATAAAAAAAGTATGTGCTCCCACCTTCTCCACACCCTTCCCTGGTACGGACGTACTCTCCTCATCTCCTCTTTCCTTTCCTACTCTCTTAGGAAAAAAATCTTCAAATTTTCTAAACCATTAGATTTATCTCAAAATTTACCAATTAAATTTGTAAACAATAAATAAATTGCACGCGCATCTGCATGGGCTACCTTCCTAGTTATATACTAACAGTCCTTTAAACTTCCTATAAACGCTCTCAAGCCGCCATGTCGTCTCCTACAAGCGCAGCTAAACCGCCATATGGCATTCTAATTTAATCACAAAAAATCAAATAAATATCTAACCATTGATTTTCCTTTAAATCGGTAGACCCATTAATTTTAACCATTTGATCTTTATCTAAAAGGAAAAAGGAAAAAAGTGGTATCCCCACCTCCATTGCGTACGTACGTGCTCCCTCCCACCCTCCTCCTCTCCCCTTCTCTCCTATCTTTTAGCTAATTTATCATATTTTCTACCTAACACTCAATATATTAAAAAATAATTCAGGCATCTAAATGATCATAACTCTCAAGTTACATTTTTTTATTTTTTTTTTCAATTGTTGAGTTATTTATAATTAAATACATAATTCCAAATTCATATTGCTCATATTTTGTTATTTAAAAATTAGATCATGCGACCGTTCTAACTACAAACGTCTAGGTCTAATGGTATGCCTATAAACGCTCTAAAGTCATTACAAGGAACTGTAATAAATTAAAAATTCTATAAATATGGGTAATAAAACATCTAACCATCGATTTTCACTTAAATCGATGGACCCACTATTTTATCTGGTTAGATCTATCTTTAAAAAAAAATCGCAAACCAACCTTCTTCCCTCACCCATCCTCCCGTTCCTCTCTCCATGTCATTTCTTCTTTTTTTTCACTCCACGCAACAACTAAAATAAAAATTATCTTTACGGAAAAAAGACTCAAAAATGGACCTCTACCTAACACATGTAGCTGGCTCTCTCTCTATCACATGATTTTCTTCTCTTTCTCCTCTATCTAGCACTTATAGAAGCAGCATAAACAGGACTTTAAAATAATCATAATTTCTTAAATTATATATAATTTACAATATGTATAAACTACTGTAATTTTTAATTAAGTCAATAATTTAATATGCGTATTGACTTACATTGTGGAACATATCCACCTTGAGGCCTCCACTAAATAAAATAAAATAAATTTTTCTCATTAGAAATTCAAATATCCCACCTTATTTTTTTAATAAACTAGACATCTAATGTCTTTCTATCGACTACTTCTGTTTTGAATATATTATAAAAAAAACAAATATATCATAAAAACATATTCAATTTTGAATTTACTAAAAGTAATTTGGTGTTGTAATTATTGATATATTTTTCCAAAAAAGAGGAAGTAATTAATTTCTCTTAATAGGCATATAGGGGCTATTTACTTATACTTGATCTTAGATGTGCTTTTGTGAATAAATTATTTTATAGGAGATAATTAAATAAATGTTCCTAAGATGATCGTAGCATATAAATTATACATATGATATATGGTGTCACTAATAGATTAGAGAAAAAGCTTTTGATTATATCATTTTTTTAGTCGTAATGTGTACCCCGTGTAGGGTCTATTTGTCATATATAGGTAACAGATTGAAAATAACCAACATGGTGCGTTGAATATCATATAAGATCATAGCAAGCACATGGTTTGTGCCAAGGAATTATAGCAGTGAAACAACCACATATATCAAATCAATTCTATATGGAAATTAAATACCATGTATATTTATATATTTATTTATTTGGTAAATCTAGAAACACTCCAGTTTAGTGGTAGTTTAGTTAAAAAACATTATGACTGTTATTTTAATATTTTATTCTTAATTGGAGAGAGAAATTTAGAAAGGATGTCATTACCCCATGCCAAGTTGTACGACCTTAACCCATTTATATGTTCATTCCAAATTGCAGAGATCAAAACATTTAAGGGATGCTTAACGGAATGAAAATCTAGAAAAAAAATTAAAATAACATGAAATAAATTTGAAAACTGAACATTTATTTTTTTTTTCTAAATCCAACTTTTATTTTGGAATTTGACACCCATTTTAAATAGCAAAGTCATATATGTCATTTATGAATATTTTCTAAGGATATAGTATACAAGAAAAATGCTACTCAGAGTTTAGTACATGCAAAAATAAAATGTACTAAATATTAAAAAAGAAATGCATTGTGTACAAATGATATTATAGTTTCATAAGTAACAACTCCACTGTGACACAATAGTTTCTTATAAATTTAAAACTACAATGGTTTTAAGTAATTTTAGTTTAGAATTCATACACCATGTGGTAATTAGAAAAAAAAAATACTAGAACTCAAAGAAACCCTAAGCAAATTATTCAAAAAACTATGTTTATAATAGAGTAATCGTAAAAATTTGTAATAAAATTGCAAACACATTAAATAAGATGCCTGCGTATGTACGCGGGCTACCTTCCTAGTTTAAGTAACGAGGGGACGCCACCTTGAGAGTTTAAAATCCTCTCTCGTATATTACAACAACATACTAAAACATTTGGGCCGTACATCTCCGCAAAGGAAAATGTTCATTTTGCCTACCTCTACTATAGGGCGAATTTGATTCACGTCATGTCTAACCTTAAAACCGAGGTCCCATTCTCTCCCCAACCTCGTGGCTCATCGGCGAGGAGAAGAACATCGGTCTGTGGTCGGTCACCGGATGCCAGGAAGGAAAATAAGCAAGAAAGGAGAAAAGATAAATAAAAAAGAAAGGACAAAAAATAAAGAAGGTGGAACCCACTACAATTTGTTTTAACCAAACACTCACTATTATGTGGATCCTATGGTTTTTCCTAACTTTAAGTGTGATGTCAGCCAAAACCACCGTTCAAACCACCTTTCAAACCACCTTGAGACCTTATTTGCACTTATTTAAAAGTTAAGTGATGCGTCATATCTTGTATTGTGGTTCATGGATGAATTTTAGACTCGGCGTCAAATTGAGGGACCTTAAGCAAACTTATTCCGACTCAATAAAGCCGAGGTACCACGAATTGGCCCACGAGATGCCGTCTCTTTGTCGATGGAACTGTAACGATCCAATCTGCGCCATGCGTACTACGCTCCTTGCCCACATAGGAATAGGTATATTTTTCCTCCCTCATCTCTTCCTCTTGATTGAATTGCCTCGCTCAATCACAAAACTGGGTATAACACATCCCCCATCTTCAAAAAACGGTGCAAATTATCTCCTTCATTGGTTTGGCAAGCGGTATTTATTGACGTGGCTGCTAGACCGAGGTTGACTCGCTGAGTTGGAAGTTGGGACCCGCATGTCAGCGACTTCCACCGCATTTCATCTTTTTTTCACCTCCCATCTCATATCTTCATTCTCTCTCCTCTCTCTCTCTCTCACATTCCAGCAGCAACAGAGGCCGTGAGGGCTGCGGCCGTAGTGAGCCGGATCAGAGGGTGTCAGTGGCAGCGACGGCGAGGGAAGAAGGGAGAGTAGGCTGTGAAGACGGCGGCGACGGCATTGTGGAAGAAGTAATAGCAGCATGCGGCGACTGTGACTGCAAGAGAGAGGAGGCAGGTGGCTACTGCGGCGGGATGGGAGGTTGAGGCGGCGGCGGCGGTCCAAGTAGCAGCCGACGCCTGTGGTGGTCAAGGAGAGGAGGCAGTGGAGACGGTAGCGACGGCAAGTAGCAACAGCAGCAGGTCGGCCTGGAGAGCTCCCACCCCAGCGCGCGGCCGCCTTGCGAGCTCTATCCCCAGCGCGCGGCCGACTGGCGAGCTCCTCCCCCGCGCACAGCTGGCTGATGACTCCTCTCCCCGCGTGTGGCCCGCCGGGAGCTATCTGCGCACGGCTGGTCGACGAGCTGCTCTACCCGTGCGCGGCCGGCGGCGAGCTCCCTTCCCACCACCCGGCTTCCCGGTGAGCCCCTTCCCCCGTGTGCGACAGGCCGGCGTGCTTCTCTCCTCTCGTGTGGCCTCCCGGCGACATCATCTCCCCATAGGCGGCAGCGGTGGGAGAGGGGGCATCGGCTGGCGCTGGTGGTGGCGGATTGGATGGGGGAAACACCGCGATGACGGTGGGGGAGGAGGTCGCCGGGAAGTCGCGGCTGGCCGGGCGCGGGGGAGGAGGTCGCCGGGAGGCTACGGCCGGGCGGGCGCGGGGGAGGAGCTTGCCGGGAGGCCACGGCTGGCCGTGTGTGTTGGAGGAGCTTGCCGGGAGGCTGCGGCCGGCCGAGCGCGAGGGAGAAGCTCGCTGGGATGAGAAGGGCTCCGCCGCCCGGCCGAATCGGTCTCCATGCGTGTGGCTGTGAGAAAAAGATTGAAGGTAGGAAGAAGATATGAAATAATGGGGCTGACAAGTGGCCCCACCATTTGTTTTGTTTTAGCATTTATCATTTACATGTGGGACCCACTTCTATTTTCAATCCCTTTGATGACCTGGCTACCACATCGGCACATTTGGAGCAAGTCAATATACCACATCAGCATAAACCGCTTATAAAACCACCGGAGGAGTCGATTTGCACTAGTTTTTGGAGATGGGGGAGGTGTTATATATAGCCGGTTTTGCGGTTGAGGGTTGTTATTCAGCGAAGGGCAAGAGATGAGGGAGCCACTATAGACTTACTCCTGCCCGCATAGCTTAATAGGGCCGTACATTCACCTCATAGCCCATAAATTTCGGCCTGTTGCCAACAGATGGCCTGGGGGAACTTGTGAGAAGGGCCCACGCGGCCCAATTAATCGGCGCGTCCTGGTTAAATAGTTTTGTTTGTACAGTGATGATGGATTACACAAACTTCAACCAATCAATGAACTGGAACTGAGTGTAAAAAAAAAAAAACCGGAACCGGCAGTAACAAAATTGGGGCCATGTACAAAGCAAAAGCAAACCAATCTCTACACCCAGAGCTATCAAATCACCCAACACATGTGGAACACACAGTACATCTCCCTAGCTCGATCGTCCACCCGATCGAGAGAAGAGCGCGTGTTTCTTCGTGTCTATGTACAGTTTTGTACACCCAACCTCCTACTGCTCCTTCCGTTCCAAAATATAATAATTTAAAAAATATATCTTAATTTAATAAATCTGAAAAAAATGGTTATCTAGATTTATTGGACTAGAATATATCCAATCTAGTTCTAAATTGCTATATTTTAAGACGTACTTAGTGGTATACGCACTCCTACCTGCCTTGGAGCATGGTGACGGTGAGGTCGTTGGCGGAGTAGGACTCCTCCTTGTCCCTGTAGTACATGTCCCGCCCCGACGACGACGACGTGCACTGCAGCGTGAACGTCGGCGGGCGCGGCGTGGGCAGCACGGAGGAGTCGCTGCCGAGCGTGAGCACCACGTAGGGGATGTCCGGGCGGTCGTGCGCGTGGTCCTGCACGCACAGCAGCGCCATGTGCACGCACCGCAGCGCCTCCTTCGCGGGGCACGTCCCCCGGATCGCCGGGTCGATCAGCTCCTGCCCTCTGTCCCCGTTCCACAGCTGCCACGCCTGTCAATATCCCAAGACGCAACGCAACTCGATCAGCAAACTTTTTTTTGACAAGAATGTGAGTAAGATTGCAGGGAGGATTTGTGTGTGTGCGTGCGCTTACGTAGCCGACGATGTTGAGGGAGCCCTCCATGTGGTGGAAGCTGCTGTTCTTCTGGCCCGTGATGATCTCCAGGATGAGGATGCCGAAGCTGTACACGTCCGACCTCACCGAGAAGAGCCCCTCCATCGCGTACTCCGGTGACATGTAGCCCCTGTGTCACGGCGACATGTAAAGTAATTAACCTCAGTGTGTTACAGTGTCAGAGTTGCTGTTGTGCTCAGGTGCTTTTTTGCTTACAGTGTGCCGACGACGCGGTTGGTGTTGACCTGGTTCTGGTCGCCGCCGAAGATCCTGGCCATGCCGAAGTCGGAGATCTTGGGGTTCATGTCGCGGTCGAGGAGGATGTTGCTGGCCTTGAGGTCGCGGTGCACCACGCGGAGCCTCGAGTCGCGGTGGAGGTACAGGAGCCCTCGCGCCACGCCTTCGATGATCTGGAACCTCGTCCTCCAGTCCAGGAGCCCTCTTCTCTCCGGATCTGACATGACATAGCAAAACAGTCACACACTGCCAGTGTCAGCTTATTACTGTCTCTCTGAACTCTCTGAATTTTGCAAGAAAAATGTTGCTGGATTCTGAGGGTGTACGTACCGAAGAGGAAGGCGTCGAGGCTCTTGTTGGGCATGTATTCGTACACCAGGATCTTCTCCTCGCCCTGGATGCAGCATCCCAGCAACCTGACAAGATTGCGGTGCTGCAGCTTCGCGATCAGGATCACCTCGTTCTTGAACTCCTCCAGCCCCTGCCCGGAGCTCCGGGACAGCCTCTTCACCGCGATCTCTTCTCCTCCAGGGAGCCTTCCCTGAAAAGAACCAAACCAATCATCCATGCAACCTCATTAGTACTCTCCAACATTGGTGCATTAATTCTGGCATGTGATTAGAACATGATGATATCGATCTCTAGCTGCGTGTACCTTGTAGACATGGCCGAAGCCTCCCTCTCCGAGCTTGTTCGAGATGCTGAAGTTGTCGGTGGCCGTCGCTAAGGTCTCGAACGCGAACAGCGGCAGCTCGCAGTTCTTGCCCTCCTCTGATTTCTCGTGTTCAGATTGCGCTGGCCCTGAGAAATCCTGCTTTGCATCCCTCGCAGGACGCAGCAACGGGAGTTGTGCCTTTTTCCTACCAATGCCAAGTTTCTCTGCGACAAGATAAACCGACTCCGTCATGTGAACTGACATGCCGCTATTTGATATTCGTTTCAAAGTTTTACATCTCAAATTCTAGTGCAATTCAAGTTTAATGATGATTTAGGCATGTACTAATTCCTAACTCACCTTTAATTCGTCTCCTGCACTTCCACATGAGAAGGCCTGATGCCAGCAATACAACCACCACGACCACAACTACGACGACGACAACGGTTTTCCATCGCCCCGAGCTTTTATCTGAGGTCAAACATAACAGCAAAATTTGTCAGAAATGTGTAGCTGCCAGGCAAATGAATTCATAATGTCATTAGAAGATAAAATCAGTTTGAAGAATCGGTCAGTTTCAAAGATTTGATTTCTGAAGACCTTCGTGCGTTTCAGCCAAATACTCACGTGCATTCACATACATCATCAGGTCATATGATAAACTAATGATCACCATGTGTGGTCAGACTGATTGACCTACATGGGTCAAACACACGATTTGTCCCACATGTTCCCTGTGTGCTAAAACTGCTAACCACGACAAAAAATTCGTGAAAGTAGCCACCTCATGTCCTCATCTAAAAAAGCTAAGAAAAAGGAATAATTTAAAACAGTTAGGTCCTTCTCGCCCAGCCGCAAGATGGTATTCTTTTCCCAATTTGAGATAATCTAGTTGATCTAGAGCGATAAAGATCTGTCATTGTCGGAACAATCTTTAAACCAAACAAAAATAATAGGCATACACCGTACTTTTCCGGAAGCTGTCGGCATCCGAAACAAACGGCCTGCACTGCATAATAAATCCCACAAGTCACCATCAGAAAAATTTTTACATAGACCTTCAAATCGACGATTCGACGTGCCTCTCGTATCTCATAATGCATTGGGTAACAATGACAGGTGACAATGCGTTACAGATGGGTGACATTAGCATCTGAAATGCTTATCTCCATTGCATATGTCATGTAAAGATATATTTGGGCGAAAATGGATATGCTTTTGAGTTTTCCGGGGGGTGAAAATGTGAAACGTTGGCTGTTTCAGACTTCAATTTTCACCCCCCTTTTCAACATTCACTGTTCACCAATCCAAATTGGCCACCATCTTTTACTCGTCTACTCCGGTGAATTTTATTCCGTGGACTGCATAAATGGGAGCTTATCTACCTAATCAGGAATTCAGGATCCAACAACCTCACACGCATCTGCACCGGATTGATGCTGCGTTTTCTAATGCCATTTTCAGTTCGACCACATGCCAAAGATTCCAGTGAACTGAACAATTTTCTAATTTTTCTAGAAAACGAAATGCGATGCCTTATTCTTTCTTAAAACAAGCAAATAATTGGCATCTAGTAGTGTATTTGTCAGATCAGGAACTGTCAGTCATTTAACTCGTTTGGATTTTTCCAGCGAAATTTCTGTCTTTGAATTCTAATAAAGCGTGTATGCACATGTGAGTGTATGTTATGGTGTGAGTGCGACGTATGTGTTATATGTCGACTCATGATTTTTTTTAAAAAAAACTTAAAACTGTAAATTAAACTTCACACAACACAAATACTCCATATGTAAAAAGAAAAAGAAAAGAAAAACCTAACTTCTAGTTATAAATCTAAACATAATCTATTTTTAAATTGTTGTTAGAAGCTGGTTTTTTCTTAGACGAAAGGAGTACGAAATATTGGTAAAATATAGATTAAACTCTCACCTAATAGAGAAGATGGGACCTTGACGTAGAGGTCGTATTTCGCTCCCTCGGTGCCGGTTTGGAACTGGAAGATGTCCACCAGCTCCTGCCCCCAGGTGAGGCAGCTGCCGGTGCTGTAGCTGTACGCCCCGCACGAGCAGTTGCCCAGGCACGCCTTCTCGCACGAGTTCGCGTCGCCCACCAGCGATCCCCACACGGCGAAGTCCGGCAGCTTCACGCCCCGGATGACGGTGAACCCGTCGCCGCCACCGGCGCCGGCGCCACCGGCGGTCGTGTTGTTCCTCTCGCTGCTGCACGTCAGTGGAACGCTCCTCACGCAGCCCTGCGTCCAGTTGCCGTTGTTGTACTCTTGCGGAGATTTTGGCTCAAAACCTGAACACATTTGACGGATAATGTGTCAATGACGTGTGGGTCAGACTCCACGTTACGTCGTTATGACTAAAAATTAAGGGATTTTAGCTATCAAAATGTACAGTGAAATGTGAACGTGATGTGCGAGAAAAGTCAGAATCAATGGATTATTCGGTGAGGAGTTTTTTAATTACCTGTGAAGCAGGTGCAGATGGGCTCGTTGTCGTCGGCGGTGCACTCGGCGTTGTCGCCGCACAAGTTGTAGCGGTGGCAGGGGATGGTCGGCTGCGACCAGACGAGCTCCCAGTCGCCGGAGCCGAGGAGCATGTAGCACGTCTCGACGCCGTTCGGCCGGAGCACGAAGCGGTAGAGCGACGAGTTGAAGGGGGTGAACGCGATGGACATGTCGCCGGCGATCGGCGGCGGGTCGCCGTTCAACTTGAAGCCGTAGACGTAGAGCGCCCGCCACGGGATGCCGACGAAGTTGCCGCTCGCCCACTGCCCCGACCTCCAGTAGGTTGAGTTCTTGCCGCCCTGGCTCCGCCAGATGTAGAGCTGCGCCGACGCGTCCAGCCCCAGCGTGAAGTCGCCGGTGGCCGGGTCGGCGTCGCTCCTCCACGACGTGTACAGCGTGCGGTCGCCGTTGGTCTGCCGGAGCGCGATCTCCATGCCCGGGACGAAGGTGTCCGTCGGGTGGTGGAAGCTCTCCCACTCTACGTCCGTGCCGGCGGCGTCGCTGCCGGAGATCACGAGGTTCCCGTCGTCGCGGATCGTCAGCGTGTGTTTGGAGCGCCCCGCGGCCGACGCGTTCGTCCGCCACGCGACGCGGTCGCCCTCCTTCACCAGCAGCTCGCCGGAGCCCGTCACGGTGGCGGAGGCGGCCCCCGCCGCCGTTCTCACGGGGGCATCGCGGTTCGCCACCCACATCACCGTCTGCACGTTCGACGTCGCGTACATCACCCCGAGGTACACCTTCCCCGGGTCGCCACCCGCCGGCGTGAAGAACCCCACCTTGAACGTGCCGTTCGCCGACACCAGCATGTCGTTCGCGCCCAGCGACTGCCCCTGCGACAGCGTGTCCGCCGCGTCGACGCCGCCACCATCTCTCACACACAGCAACACGAAGAACACCAACGCGAGCGCAGCAATGGCGGCCGTGGAAGCCATCGACCACGACGACGACGATGGCGGCGAGAAGATCGAGAGGTTCGCGAGAGGCTAGAGGGCTCGCGGCTTCTTGGCGCGAGAAAATATATGTATTCACGTGTGCGAGCGCGAGACGCGTGGTGCGGCGTGGTCGGAGCGAGCACTTGTTCGCATCATGGTTTTGAACCGGAGATTTTAACTAGAAGATTATACTAGTACTAGTACTAAGCGGATGCCGAATTTGCCGAGTAGGCGAGACGCGACTAGGCTAAGCGGTGTGGAAATCGGGGGGATTGGAAAGGAAGGGGCAGCGAAGGTTGGGGACGGCGGGAGAGCTGGTCTTCACATTGTTTAAAGGCGTAAACAAAACGACGGCAGGAGAGACAAAACTGGCAGTTGACATGCTTACGGCCGGTAAACTAATGGTGGCAAAAAATGGTCTGGTCAGCAATACGGTTGCATGATTTAGTTCACTCGCAGAGGCTAATTGATTTCAGTTGGATTAGATTAAGTGTAATTTTATAGTCTCTAAGACGTAACAATATTTTTAGTACAAATTTTGATACATCCTGTTACCATAGGTACAAATTTTACACTAGAAAATATGATACCTCCTGGTCTTTTCTTGAGAATTGTAAAATCACTTGTGGATTAAACGGTTAAAAAATAAGACTGACCATTGCATATTTGGAAAAAAAACACCTTATAATTTTACAATTTCAGATCGCTTTTATTTGAATCCTCTTTATCTCCTTCTTGGCACCCTCATTCAGGCAACGACACCGTCACCCAGGCATAAGCCGTAAACGATGCTCGTGAGGCCCGCCAGACATCCTCTTGCCCCGGCCCCACCCCCCACCCCCCAAAACCCTCCTCAAAGTGGTGGCGGTGAGGTACCTCCGTCCCACTGTCTAGTAGCTCCCGTCTTTCCAAAAACAAGTTTTACTTTGTCCATGTCACTAATGCCTACCGCTCTTCTTTATCCTCATGGCTCTGGCACTACCGTTGACATCTCGCTGCCTACCTATGTCCATCGTCCGTTGCTCTGCTAACACCTCTCACAACCATCCCTCTAAGCCCAATAAATCCCTCCTCCGTCCCCCACTTCAATTTGGAACTTGAGACTTTAAACCCTAACTCCAATGCCATTCATCGGGGTCACCAGAGAATGTATCACTAAGCAAATATAAAAATCTAAAAACATATCCCAAAACAGTTGTTAAGTGCTATTTAGCAATTCTAAAATAAATTATAATCTACATGTTTGTTTCTGCTTGGATTCATCAAGACCTCCATCGTTACATAACAGCTAATCAATCGGGCAATATGAAGGCTCTTTGTAAAAAAGTTAATCCCTCAGTAAAATATAACAACTAAGAGGATCTCATGTCCAAATTTATTATACTAGGTTGTTTCCAATCCCATCTTAAGACATGTATAATGATGTTTATTAATGGGCTCTCTCTATTGGCTTACAGGTAAACTTAGTGACGTGGAAAAGAGAAGGGGGGAGGGAAACATCATTGCTACTCATAACAACGACTCTTAGGATTTACTAAAGAAAATTTTGTTGCATGGAAGAGAATAAAAGTGTGAAGAGAACAAGAACCTAATGCATTTTGCATGCTGAAGCTTAGATGCTGCATGTCGGTGATATAGGCCCAGGGGTATGCGAAGTGTGGGGAAGTCTCCTTCCCGTCCAGCCATGCGGCCATACAACCTGGCCCTCCCCCCACATCTCGGACGACGCAGAGGCGCCCGGGGGGCCTCGGGGTGCCACATCACGCCCCTCGGGCCCTCGGGCTACCTCGCCCCATGGCCCACGCCCGACCGCCACGTGGCGGGAGGAGTGAGTGGGGCGGTGGTCGAAGCTGAACCGCCATCAATGCGCAGCACCCCAACCGTCCCTCACCGCATTTAATGTGGTGAGGGCGGACGTGCGGCGCTGCCCGATTGACCTGCGTCAATCGGGCATGACCGGATTGTGACCGGTCTGTGGCCGGTCACGTCCGATCGGATAGGCGGCGGTGCCCCCACGTTCCGCCCTGTGTTCGGCGGAGTTGGGGCAAGTATGCCCCGTCCCATCAATGCATCATCTGGAGCTCCCTCCACGTGAGCTGAACCGCCAAAAGTCTCCATTCATTTAAAGGGGAATGACAAGGGCGTGTCCCCTGTGTCAGGCGGGAGACGGCGCTGGGCCCCACTCGAGGACGGACGGCTGCTTAGCTTCCGGGCGAAGGCACGAATGGTGGTCCGATCCAAGCGGCATGGGTCCCCCTCCCGTGAAGGAGTAGGTAGAGGCGGCGCATGTGGTATCCCCTTGAACTAAAAAAGGAGGACCTTACCCACCGAAAAGGGACGACTCTCGATTAGCCTAAGCCCCAGGGGAAGAAGAGTTAGAGTTCTCCCTGGAGTTGAGGAACCTTTGTAACACTCAACCCTAAATCTTACACACAGGAGTAGGGTATTACGCTCCGTAGCGGCCCGAACCTGTATAATTCCAGCTCTCACGCGCAGTCTCGGAAGACTCTAGGCGGATATACGCTCTCGATCAGCGCGCCCTTTCCCCCGGCCGAACTCACAAAAGGGGGGGGTCACTCGATCACCCGCTAGAGAGGATCACTCCTCGACAGTTATGGATACCACATACCTAATAGTAGTTGACTAAATCTCGGCAGGACCCACCACATATTATGTCTTATACGGAAACAACCTTCGGATATAGGAGAAGTTCCGCATAGGGAAGGATGACTAGAGTTCTACATGGAAACGACAAGGACTACACGGAACAATAGATCAAGACACAAAATCAACATACAAGCCAACATACGCCAAGACAAGACGCCGAATATCGACTTCAGAGATGGGCATGGCTAGTCCCCTACGGATACCGTCAGGAGAGATATAGCGCTGTCTCTGATCTCGCCGGATGCGGATTCGAGGAGGAAGGCTATCCTTTTGTCGACTACGAGTCAGACCTTTAGACCACTATGTCGACAACAGTTAGATAGACTAACACAAATATTGTACTGGTGTGATTATGATGAATAAGAGCAACGACCGGCTTCGGCCAACAGGATGTAGGGCTATTCCCTGACAATTCAGGGGCCCGAACCTGTATAAAAATCCTCGTCTCCATCTCTTTTACTACAATCTCGCATATATTCTAATACCAACGATCCCCATACTATGCAAAAACCGGAATCGCGATATCAAACGTCGACAGTATTAACTAAGAGATTATATGAAACTCACTATTTGTACATTCTCTTATATTGCTATATTTTAGAACAAAGAAAATGTTTTTGTTTTTTTTTAGACTGCCGTTTTTCCAACTCCTTTCAGCACCTGCCCACCGTTGGATTTTCACATTTTTGCTGACTGCGGCTGCAGTTCAAGTGTGCAACCCGTGTTAGGTCCGGCGCGGTAAGTGCTGCTGGTGTATTTCCATTTTTCTTTTCAAGTATATATGTCCCCACTTTGTTTTACGAATGCAGCACAGTAGTTTTGTAGAGTAACTTTTTTTCCCTTTTAGTGATGGGAAGGCTTCGTTTTGTAATACAGGTATATATATTCAGTGATTTTGGTCAGGGGCACCACGTAACGTGAGTAAGACGCTCAGTCGCTCACAGTTTAAGGAACAAAACAAAAGAGGATTTACTCGCAAGTTACCGGGTCTGGCAATGTGATTAAAATCGTAGTGGTTACGTTCTTCTTCTTCTTCTTCTTCTTCTTCTTCTTCTCATATAGCCATATAGGGTATTACAAGAATTCATATGGTAGGTAGTGTACCAATATGACTTGGACTATATGTACATTTTTTGCTTCTCTTTTTCTTGATTTCTAGAAAAATGTATCTTACAGAGAAACGGCATCGGTCGGCAGGGGAAAAAAAGGAAGAAGAAGAAGAAGAAGAAGAAGAAGAAGAAGAAGAAGAAGAAGAAGAAGAAAGGAGAGAGGAACAGTAACCCGCTACATTATCGGATAGACGAACCTGAAACAAACCAGCCATGCATAGCTGGTAATAAAGCAAGTTGGAGGGGAGAAAGAACAGTAAAATGCAGGACGTGTCACACGGAGAAGGCAGTAGGAGGGCGGTGAAGTACTTAACCAGGTTGCGAGTACCTCTCATAAACTCCTCAACTAGTGGATTGTTCCGCACAACTTTACAAATGGTAGATAAAAGTAAAATTAGATTTAGTATACGACTTTTAATTTAATTGTTCGTTTTATAGATATAATTGTTACTACCTCCGTTTCATATTATAAATTTTTGACTTTTTTCCTAGTCAAATTTTATTAAGTTTGATTAAGTTTATAAAAAAAATATTAAAATCTAAAATATCGAATCAGTTTCATTAAATATAATATTGATTATATTTTGATAATATATTTGTTTTGTGTTGAAAATATTACTATTTTCTCTATAAATTTGGTCAAACTTAAAGAAATCTATTTTTCTATGAATACTTCTAAACGATGTGTTTCGTGTGAAAACTTTCTACATAGAAGTTGCTATAAAAAATCAAATGAATCCATTTTTCAAGTTTCTAACAATTAAAATTCAATTAATCATGTGCTATTGTGCTAATAACTTGTATCGTTTTACGTGCGCACTTAATCTCCTTTCATCAGATTCAATTAATGAATGTGATTTATACTTTTCAAGTTATATTCATGTGCCATTTACAAATTCTCAATACCACTTTCCTTGTTTGGGCATAACTTATTAGCTTACAAGACAAATCACAAGCAGACATGCTTTACATCACCCGATATATTTTGGAATATAAATCACATGAATTTTTGACCTTGTGATTTGCTTCATTATGCTCACAAGGTCAAAAAAGTTTCAATGATCAAGCTTTTGTCTTCAATGATCAAGCTTGCTAGTGGTTATAAGCCTGTTTGGTACAGCTCCAACTCCTAAATTTAGCTACAGGAGTTAGGTCTGAAGTGGAGTTGTGGAGCTGCCTAAACCCAGCTCCACAACTCTAGTTCATTTTGTGAGAGAGCTCCACCCAGCTATATTCCTAATTTTGGTGGAGCTGAAACTGTTTGGCTGAGCTCTAGCTACAGGAGGGGTGTAGCTAGAGCTGGAGCTGTGCCAAACAGACCCTATATTTCAGTGTTGAGATCAGGATGAGGAAGGTGGGAGGTGCTTCCTGACTAGGCTGTGTTCGGCGCTGCCTGTTCCCATCCTCTCCTACTCGTTTTCCGCACGCACGCTTTTCAAACTGCTAAACGATGTATTGTTTGCAAAAAGTTTCTATACGAAAGTTTCTTAAAAATCATATTAATCCATTTTTTTAAAAAAGCTAATGCTTAATTAATTACGCGCTAAACAATGCTTCGTTTTGTGTGTCAGGGAGTCCCTCACTCCTGAACGCAGCCTCAGAGATATGACCACCTTAGCATCGACATATGTACACAGTGGACCGATGGTTGAGGAGGGGCGCCGTGAAGCGGTCG